AAAACGATTGTGGCTGTGTTCCAACAAGATTTTGTTAACAAGAGCAAGTGGCTGCTGGGGTTTGGCCTGGGGCCCTGGTTTGCTAACCCCTGGCTTTGACGGTCCTTAGCCTGTTAGGGAGTGGGGTGGGGACTCCCTTATGAATGGCCTCTGCAAGCTTGGGCCTCCCCATCTGTGAGATGGGAGTAGATAACAGTGCCATTAGGTTAAAGATGTAGGGATTGGTTCAGAGTCTTTAGCACAGAACGTGGCATGCAGTGTCCAAGCAGTGAGTTGCTGTGATTGTTACCGATGAGGCCAAGTGTTTGATCCTCCCTGACACAAAAGGAAACTGGGGCTGGTGACACTCTGGAGCCTCCCCCTGGGTCTAACACCGTCTAGAAGAGCCGGGTACTAAGGATTAGAAAGACAGGCAGGGCGGAGAGTGACTGAGCCATGCACCCAGCCCTGCAGCCTCCCCTCTGGGTCTAATGCCATCTAGAAGAGCAGGGTACTAAAGATTAGAAAGACAGGCAGGGTGGAGAGGGGCCAAGCCAGGCACCCGGCCCTGTGATGCCCTTTCTGCAGGCCTCTGTGGGTAAATCTTCCTCACTGGTGTCTTCCTTTATCTGCAGAACATGCGAGCACTTGGGGATGGAGTATCTTCACATGTAATGCAGGTGGCTGTAAGGGAGTACTGCCATATCTGGGACTAACTTTTCCCTGTGGCTTTTATTCTCAGGACTGCAGGTTTTCTAATATAAATAAGAGTAGACAGTGCTCTGTATCCATGGGTTCTGCATCCTCGGATTTAACTAGCCTCATGTTGAACATACTCAAAGTAATAACAATAAATAGTACAACAATAAAATAATACAAGCTTAACAACACAGTATGACAAAGATTTCCACAGCATTTACATTACATCAGGTTTTATAAGGAATCTCGAGATGATGTAAAGTGTACACGAGGATGTGTGTAGGGTACACACGAACTCAACACCATTCCCGGGTTTTGATATCCGAGGGGCATCCCGGAACCAATTCCCAGCAGACACAGAGGGATTGTATGTTGTTTTAAGTCACCTGTGAGTCTGAACTACTAGAAGTACCTTTTGCACCACAGTCTTGCTGTCTGGTGGCTGCCCGCAGGGCTACCTCCTGCACCAGGTTCTGCCCAAGGAGGGCAGTGACTATGAGGGTGGCCATGCTGCCCTCCAGGGTTCATGCTGTTCAGAGTCTGCTGGGGACCCTGCGTCCATGTCATTGGACCAGGTCCTTGGGCCCCCCCAGCATGAGGCTCCCCTGTTCTGCCTCGACACTGCACAAGGAAGGATGCTGGGTGATTTGACTCTTGACCGAGAGGAAATTGTGCCTGCCTGACTCCACTGCCCACTGCTTACTGCCCTGGGTTCTGGGAGTGCTGGTGTGAGGACAGTCTCCCCAGTGTGTTCTAGAAAGAACGCCTTACCTCTCCCAAACCTCTGTGCTTCCGGTGGGGGCTCGCGGCAGCTTGGTGCAGGGCAGGCAGGTCATGTTTGCTGCAAATTCAGATTTTTGTGACTGAGTTACAGGTTTTTTTCCTCCCTGGGGAGCCTTGAATCTCAGAGGCGAAAGAGACCTTACTTAGGATTTTAAGACTTTATTTTTTACAGCAGTTATGGTTCACAGCAAAATTGAGTGGAAGGGAGAGATTTCCCATGTGAACTCCCCGCATGCACAGCCTCCTGTGCTACCAACATCTCCCCAGGGTGGTGTGTCTGTCCCCGCTGAGGAGCCCACGGTGACCAGTGTCACGCAGTCTGGAGTGGACCTCGGGGCTCCCTCCTGGTGTGGCACGTTCTCTGGGTTTGCACAAGTGTCAAATGCCAGATGTCTGTCACCTTAGTGTCACAGAGAAGAACTTCATTACCCTGAAAGTTCTACGCTCGGCCTGTTCCTCCTCCTCCCCCATGACGGCTAACCCACGGCGCCTTCCACTGGCATCACAGCGGAGTCCCTTTCAGCATGTCACACGGGGCAGTCGGACAGCAGGCAGCCTTGTCAGATGGCTTTTGGCACTTGCCCTGCCTCTGAGGTTCCTCCAGGCTCCTGTTTCCAGTGCTCAATCACAGTCCACAGTCTGGCCCTGCCAGCAGGAAAGCAAGGCCTGAGCCAGGAGATGCCTAGTCAGGGACACAGGGCTGCCAAGTCCAGTCAGCCCAGAGGGCTGGAGCCAGCAGCCGGGTCTGGCAGAGTTCTGAGGACATTGGGGGAATCACGCACCTCAAGGCCTCAGCTCCAAATCGTGAATGGAGAGTGTGGAGCCCACAGACTCTCAGGAAGGCACGCTGACACCGCCGGCCCCGTGAGCCCTGCCGAGACTGGCCTTGCCACCGCTTCCGTCGGGTCCTCTTGATGAAGGGTAGGCAAGGCAAGCCCACAGTTGGGACTTAGCCTCAGAGGGTTCTTGGCTTCACCCAGGAAAGAATTCGAGGGCGAACGAGTGGCATTAGACAGCAGCTCTTATGGAAGCAGCCATGCATGGCAGCAGCAGAGGCACAGCTCGGTGCAGAGCCGGGCCCCCCCAGAGGCAGCACACCCAGAGCAGCAGCTCAGAGGCAGGGCTGCACTCAGAATCATACCCACTTCTACTTATATACAAATTAAAGAGAAGATTATGCAGACATTTCTAGAAAAAGGCGGTAACTTTCACATCCTCGGGTTGTTGGCCTGGAAAGGGGCGGTACCTCCCAGGGTTGCCATGGCAATGGTAAACTGACCCGTGGCTGGTGGGCGTGTCTTATGGGAAGCTGCCTCCCCCATCTCTGTTTTAGCTAGTCCTCAATTTGGTCCAGTATCTGAGTCCCATTCCCCTGCCGAGTCAACTCATGCCTCCTACCTCACTCTGAGCCACCAGGCTGCCACGGATGGGGTGGCTTAAACCACACACATCTGTGTCTCAGTTCCAGAGGGTGGAATCCAAGGCCAAGGTGCCAGCATGCATGGCTTCTCCTGAGGCCTCTCTCCTGGGCCTGCCAATGGCTGCCTCTCTGTGTGGTCACACGGTCGTCCCTCTGTGTGTGTCTCTCTCTGTGCAGTTTCCATGTTTTTATAAGGATGTTGGTCTTCTTGGATGAAGGCCTACCCTAATGACCTCATGTTCACTCAATGACTTCTGTAAAAGCCCTATCTCGAAATACAGGAACTGAGGTGCCAGGGGCCAGGACTTCAGTGTATGCATCTGGGGGGCATGATTCCACCCTCAGCAAGGGCAACGCCAGACTCCACTGAGCCTGGAACACAGTGAGCTCCCTGGCCCCCGCACCTCTCAGGACTGTCAGGCCCCGACCGTGAGGGCCGACAGGCTGGGCAGAACCGGGGTTGACTGCTATGACCCTGAGAGGCCACGTTCAGGTGGGCCCTGCCCGTCACCCCGGGCCCCATCGTAGCCTTCCCATGCATTGCCAGCCATGGCCCTGGCCCTGCCTTCACCTGGGGACCCCTGTACGGGAACTCAGCATGATGTTTTTGGATTCTGCTGGTTGACTTGTCACCAGGGAGGTGTCTGTGAGGTGACAGTCAGAACTGGTGTGGTCGGTGGCCAGAGAATAAAGTAAAAGTTTCAGGAATAGCCTGCACCGCCACTGTTCCTGAGGCACCCACTGCTGCGGCCGGCAACTGCTCCCGGGCTCCTCTGGGCGGTGACTTCCCTCTCGAGTGTATTTCAGGGACTCAGTCCTAGGGCTGTGGGTTCCGCATCCTCAGATTTAACTAACCTCATGTTGAACATACTCAAAATAATAACAAATAGTACAACAATAAAATAATACAAGCTTAACAACACAGTATAGCAAAGATTTCCACAGCATTTACATTGCATCAGGTATCATAAGGAATCTCGAGATGATGTAAAGTGTACACGAGGATGTGTGTAGGGTACACGCGAGCTCAACACCATCCCCGGGTTTTGATATCCGAGGGGCGTCCTGGAACAAATCCCCAGGAGACACGGAGGGATCATGCATTGTTTTAAGTCACATACACCATCCCCAGGTTTTGATATCTGAGGGGAGTCCTGGAATGAATTCCCAGCAGACACGGAGGGATCATGCGTAGTTTTAAGTCACAGCACGAAGGGTATCTCTCTAGGTTTTATTTTCCTCTCTAGGAAAATTGTTTAATATTTCCAGGCCATAAAGAAAACACATGGTGGCAAATATTTTTAAAATATAGAAACACCTAATTTAGAAAGAAGCATCTCTTGCAGTTTCCAGGGAAACCAGGTTAACAGGTAAAACTCGGATCATTGACTTGAAGTTGATCAACTTGGTACTAGATTATAGACATCTCTATTTTGATTGATTGATTGATTGACTGAGGCAGGGTCTCACTCTTATCACCCACACTGGAGTGCAGTGGCACATTCATAGCTCTCTGCAGCCTTGAACTCCCAGGATCAAGCAATCTTCCTGCCTCAGCCTCCTGCGTAGCTAGGACTACATGCATGCACCACCATACCTGGCTAATTTTTTTTTTCCTGTGGTGACTGAGGTCTCATTATGTTGTCCAGGCTTGTCTTGAATTCCTGGCCTCAAGCAATCCTCCTGCCTTGGTCTCCAAAATTGCTGAGATTACAAGCTTGAGTCACCGCATCCAACCCTGACATCTCTATTTTTCAAATGACTCATTCCATAGCTGAGAGACGAGTGCCTGGGTTGCAGAGGAAGAGGGGAGGGATACGTGTTGCTAAATTGCTTTCCCAAAGGGCGTGCCTGGAGCATGTGCCAGTTTTGAATATCAGCTTGTAATATTCCTGCACGCTGGAACATCGTTTTAGTAAGCAAGCATTTGACACCCGCACGTGTGTTAGGATGCTCTTTGCATTGTCAGCCGAGGAAAGCCCCGTACACAGCATCAGATGGAGACACACGGTTTTCAGCTGTGCGTCTCTTCTCTCAAAGCCACACTCAGTTTTGAACAAATGGTGACACCTGAGAAGCATGGTGACCACTCTGATGAAGCCTTTTCTTTTGCTTTCAGACAATGAGTATGTATTTATGGATTTGGAGCAAAAGCTCAGCAAGTACTTCTCAAAAGACTGGAAGAAAGAAATATATGAAGTAAGCATAGAGTGTGGGGTGGGAGAGGGCAGGGCACCACGGTGGACTGTGCTGGACCACAGGGATGCATGGGGTGGGAGAGGGCAGGGCACCACGGTGGACTGTGCTGGACCGTGGGGATGTGCTGCCTTCTGTCCATGCAGCTGCCCCATCCGCAGGGGACTGCAGTGAGCCCAGAGGCTGCAGGCAGGTGAGCCCACCCCGAAACCCACCTTGGCAGATATTCTTGAACGCTGTAGACCACATCCCACTCAGAGTTTTCCCGTAGAAATTACCATGAGTCGAGTTGTCAGCTCTGGCGGCAGACACCTGAGCTTTGGCTTTGAACTGAGTGTGAAGCAATCCAGGCCCCTCCCCCCGAAAGGGGAAGACAGGACAGCCGGGGGCACCTCCCTGGGGCTCACTGGCTCTTTCTTGTATTTTCCCCACCAGGAAAATGAGAAACCCAGAGCCCCTTTCGTGGCGTTCCTCCGGGTGCAGCACTACGTGGAAAACGGAAGGGTCGTAAGGTAACGGCATGCTGACTTTAAAGGCTATTTCCTGGAATACTGAAAATCTGCCACATGACATAGAAGTCCCACGAAGGCCACACATTACATTTGAGCTTCTCCAAAAACAAACAAACAAACACACACCACTAGATTGACTGTTTGCTTTGGGGGAACACAGGAATTCTATTTAATTGAAAGGTATACAGACTGTGTCATAAATGGGTACTTCTTTTTCTTTTTCTTTTTCTTTTTTTTTTTTTTTTTGAGATGGAGTTTCACTCTACTTGCCCAGGCTGCACTCTACTTGCCCAATCTCGGCTCACTGCAACCTCCGCCTCCCGGGTTCAAGCGATGCTCCTGCCTTAGTCTCCAGAGTAGCTGGGATTACAGGTGGACACCACCACACCGGGCTCATTTTGTATTTTCTGTAGAGACGGGGTTTCTCCACGTTGGTCAAGCTGGTTTCAAACTCTCGACCTCAGGTGATCCACCCGCCTCGGCCTCCCAAAGTGCTGGGATTACGGGTGTGAGCCACCGCGCCCGGCCTAAAGTGGTGCTTCCTCAAACGCCAGGACTCGTACTCGCTAGGGTGGGTACACCGTCCAGGGCTGGGCGAGGCTTCCGGGGGCCGCTGGGCGAAGGGCTCCTGCGCTTTCTGCACAATGGTTCTCGCTGTTCGCTGCCCACTCTGCAGGTGACTAGTGGGAAGCTCTTCCCGGCAGGAGAGAAGTTGTACCTCTGGTGGGCTGCGCTCTAAACCAACAGGGGCCACTTCTTCCAGAGCTGCCTTAGAGTTTCTAGGAAAACAAAAGATGTCCCTCAGGAGGATCCTGAAACCTACTTCCCAAACAGAGCTTCAGGGAGCGTGAACAGGGTTTTCCCTGCGGGGAAACCTAAGGGGGTTTCCCAGGAATTCCCTAAGCAGGCACCATCCCCCGCCGGTTCCAAAAGGGATGTGTGCGGTTGTGTGGAAGGTTCTAGGGAGTGAGGGGCGTGCGGGAGGGTCTGGAGAGTGAGAGGCGTGTGGTTGTGTGGAGAGTCCTGGAGACATTGGTGTGCGGTTGTGTGGCAGGTTCTGGAGAGTTCGGGGGGTGTGTGAATATGTGGAAGGTTCTGGATAGCCTTGCAGAGGAGGTCTGGAAGGTATTGGGTTGATGGACGGAGCTACCTGGTGCTATGGGGCCAGTTTGGGGGAATTACATGAGAAGATCTTGTACCTGCATCTTGGGCGAACCTCCCGCCCGGCCCCTGTGATTAATGAATACCAGCCATGGCCAGGCCCCGTGCTGGGCGGTGAGCTCTGGGAGCCAGGTCTGTCCACATCCAGGGATTTGGTGCAGACTCTGTGCAGCTCTCCTGCACTGGGGCCTGGTTTGATGGAGGCCGAGCTCACTGGGGAAGGAGCGGGACCTCGGGCAGGTGGAGCCTCATCTAGCGGCTGCTTGGTGGCAGCAAGTCACCTGCGTCCTGCTCCAGGAAGCGTGCGGGCCTGTGCCGCGCTGGCCCTGCAGGGACACAGCTGTAGGTAGAACAAGACAGGAACAAGGTACCAGGGGCTCAGGACAGTCCTGGGAGCTGGCGTGGGGAGGGACAAGGCAGGGCCAGAAGGGCCGGGAGTCCCCACGCTGGCCTTCCTGGAACTCACTCCCCGCCGCCTTCCAGCGACCACAGGGCACGGCACCTGTACTACTGCCACCTGAAGGAGCGTGTGCTGAGGTCGCAGTGCGCCCACCGGGAGGAGGCCTACTTCCTGTTGGCCGCCTGCGCGCTGCAGGCTGACCTGGGCGACCACCGGGAGCCGGCCCACACCGGGAGGTACTTCGAGCCACACTCCTACTTCCCGCAGTGGGTAAGGTCGGGGCCCACCTCCTCCCAGCATCGTTGGCCTGGTGCCTGTCCACCTCCACCGGGTGCCGTCTGTGGGAGCAGGGGGCTGGGGGCCTGGCAGGGGATGCTGGAGGACGGGTCAGGGATGGAAACAGGGCAATCATCTATCCTTTTCTCCTGAAGACCCAAGGGTCCTTACCACCCCCAAAGGTGGGCGGTGTGGGAGGAGTGGCCCAGAGCAGGTAGGTCTGGGTGCCTGTGCTCCTGACGCACCCGGCCAGCTGTGTGGCTTTGCTCACTGGCTTCACCTTTCTGAGCCCCTCGGTGGCCTGGCCGTGGAATGTGACCACGCGGGCCTCATGGCTGTGAACCTTCCCACTTCTCTCTCAGTATCCTGGGACCCGTAGGAGCCTTTGAGCCTCAGCTTCCTCACCTGTAAGGGAAGGAGTGCTGTACCCCTGGGAGGAGGGCCACGGAGAGGCGTGGGCCGTGCCGCTGTGTGCCCAGTCCCAGGCGCTATCTGGCCTGCTGGCCTCGTGGGTTGATGGCTGTCACCCCGGGGATGCAGGCCCTGTTCCGGGTGAACTTTTAGGTTTCTCTCCTTGACTGCTCATCACTGTGTACCTCTCTATCCTGTGCACCTTGGGGCCTTCTCACCTTTGCTCTGAGTGGCAGTCACTGAGGCCAGGGTGGGGCCCAGCCAGGCTTCCTCCCAACACTGTGGACACCACACCTGCCCTTGGCCTCTGGGCACATTTCCACCCTCAGTGATTCCATGTCCCTGTGGGTCTTACCCCAGTCCTGGTGGTGGCCCCAGCTGGTCCTCACTGGGCAGGTTCCCAAGAGCCAGGGCTCGTTGAGGGTGGAGTCCCCACCTGCAGACGCCTGCGGAGGGCTGGCTGCTGCCATTTCCCTTGGGGAGGGTCCGAGGGGGACAGGAAATCAGACAGAGCCCAGGGCCAAAGCGGGCACTGAGACTTCATCTCTGGGTCTGGGCTCAGCAGTCAGGCCCCGGCCTTGCCCACTGAGGTCGGCACCAGCTGTGGGAGTCTGGGGAGGCTTCTCAGAGCAGGGGGCTGGCGAGAACGAAGGGGGGACCAGCAGGGGTCTGAGCTGACCTCCCGGCTCTGTCCTCAGGTCATCACCAAGAGGGGGATTGACTACATCCTCTGGCACATGCCCGCCCTGCACCGTGAGCGCCAGGGCCTGAGCCCCAAGGAGGCCGTGCTGTGCTTCATCCAAGAGGCCTGCCGGCTGGAGGACGTACCCGTGCACTTCTTCAGGCTGCACAAGGTTGAGCCCAGGGCGGCCAGCGACAGGCCGGTCTCTGACTCCAGGCCAGGGATGGACGGCGCCCCCGTGGCTAACAGTGGGACCAGGCCCCCAGGCCAGGGATGGACGGAGCCCCCATGGCTAACAGTGGGACCAGGACCCCAGGCCAGGGATGGACGGTGCCCCCATGGCTAACAGTGGGGACCAGACCCCCAGGCCAGGGATGGACGGAGCCCCCATGGCTAACAGTGGGACCAGACCCCAGGCCAGGGATGGACGGAGCCCCCATGGCTAACAGTGGGACCAGGACCCCAGGCCAGGGATGGACGGAGCCTCCATGGCTAACAGTGGGACCAGGACCCCAGGCCAGGGATGGACGGAGCCCCCATGGCTAACAGTGGGACCAGGACCCCAGGGCAGGTGTAACCAGAGCCCCCGAAACTGACAGTGTTATCAGGACCCCGGGGCCGGCATGGCCAGGGGTCTCTTAGGTCATGGCTGATGTTTATTTAGCATGATGCAAGGCAGGCTTGTGCTGTGATAACTGTGCCTTTGGTCTGATGCTGGAGTGAATGAGACTGTCTGTAAATGCGCCCCAGAGCTCAGCCTGGTCCATGGAGGCCTCGGCCCCTAGCCAGACTGACCACACTCTGCCATCGGTGAGGCCCGGCGCCCCCAGGCCTGCAACTTGACCTCTGACCTGTGTCCTCTAGGATAAGAAGGAAGGTCACCCCACCGTGATCCTGGGACTGACTCTCAGGGGAGTGCACATCTACCAGGTGACTGGAGGGGCTTCAGCTTCACAGAGCCCCTCCTCCTGCCCCCACCCCTCCTCCCTTCCCCGCTGGGGTCTGGGCCGTGGAGCATCCCTGCAGTGGCCATGGGCGCTGGCTGGCCCCACCTGGACGCACCCTGCCTCTGCTGTCCCGCAGGAGGTGGACCGTGCTCCGCAGCTGCTCTACGACCTCCCCTGGCCCCACATTGGGAAGCTGGCATTTCTGGTGGGTGTCTGGGGGGTCCCCGTGCCCGGGAGAGCCTGGGCAGGTGCGGCTTCATCCTTGGGGCATTTTCTGGGCATTTTTTCCCGACGAGGTGCAGGTCCCTTCCTGCCGGCCTCTCGGGAGCCTCAGGGCCGTCCTGGCCTCATGGGCTCTGTGCCTGACCCTGGCCTTGCAGGCACTGGGTGTTTAGCTGCCCAGTGAGGTCTAGTTGTTGTTATCGCTTGAAAACTTCTGGCTTTCAATTGAGAAAACCAAGGGAGAAAATAAGAGCAGGTCATAGAAACGCACCTGTGTGGCCTCTGTGCCTCTCGTCTCGGCCCCAGAGCTGTCACCCAGGGCCACCCCACAGCCCGGGTGCCAGGGGTAAAAGGGCAGCGACTGTGGGGGCTGCTGGGCAGCAGGCTTGCTCTGGACAACCAGACCGAGGTCTTCCCATCCCACCCCAGACCTCCGCTCCCCTCACGCAGCTGCGGGCACTTTCTAGCCAAGAGGGCTGTGTCCTCTCAAGCAAGGGCAGAGCAGAGCATGCCCTGAGCACAGTGCCCGTGAACAGCCCTCTGCATTGCAAAGTGAAAACCTAAACCCCGTCCCCCTGGGGGCCATGGCTGACACTTAAAATCATCCTTTCCTGTTGCTAGTGTGGTTTTCCACCTGTGGGGTGGCACCTTCTCGCCTGTTTGTTCAGGGGAAGAAGCTGGAGATCCAGCTGGACGGGCTGCCCGCGGCACAGAAGCTGGTTTACTACACGGGCTGCACCTGGCGCTCGAGGCACCTGCTGCACCTGCTGCGCGCCAGCCACCAGCTCCACCTCCGCGTGCGGCCCACACTGCGGCAGCTGCGGCAGCGGGAGGAGGCAGAAGGTGGGGCTGGGCTGGGCGCGCTGGGTTCCGCAGCCGGACTGTGCCTTCTGGGCTGGGCTGGGCGCGCTGGGTTCCGCGGCCGGACTGCGCCTTCTGGGCTGGGCTGGGCGCGCTGGGTTCCGCAGCCGGACTGCACCTTCTGGGCTGGACTGGGCTGGGCTGGGCTGGGCGCGCTGGGTTCCGCAGCCGGACTGCGCCTTCTGGGCTGGGCTGGGCGCGCTGGGTTCCGCAGCTGGACTGCGCCTTCTGGGCTGGGCTGGGCGCGCTGGGTTCCGCAGCCGGACTGCACCTTCTGGGCTGGGCTGGGCTGGGCTGGGCGCGCTGGGTTGCGCAGCTGGACTGCGCCTTCTGGGCTGGGCTGGGCGCGCTGGGTTGCGCAGCTGGACTGCGCCTTCTGGGCTGGGCTGGGCGCGCTGGGTTCCGCGGCCAGACTACACCTTCTGGGCTGGGCTGGGCTGGGCGCGCTGGGTTCTGCAGCCCGGCTGCACCTCTGTCTCTCACTGTTGTGGCCTCCTGGCTCCCGCATCCCCCAGATGCTCAGGTTGAAGGGCGAGGTGGTGGCCCCCCAGCTCTACCCAGAGTGGAATTCTATAGATGGGGCTGGGGGAGGCTGAGGGCTTGAGGAGCCGCCTGAGGTTTCCACTTCTCAGTTTCCTGGTCTGTTTCCCACCTCTCCTCCCATCATGTGCCCACAAAGAGCAAGAAATGCAGGTTCCAACAAGGCCTCAGCGTTTACCCACGGACCTGGTCTCCCTCCCTGTTCCATGTCCTCACCTGAGCACGAGGCCTGGCCTCAGTGTTTACCCACAGGCCTGGTCTCCCTCTCTGTTCCACGTCCTCATCTGAGCTGTGGGTGTGCGTTTCTGTCTCCCGGGCTCTTCCTCCTGCATCAGCGGGGATGGTCCCTCTCCAGCTCGTCCTCACTGTGCTCCCTGCAGAGAAGCAGCGCTACCGGGAGTCCTACATCAGCGATGGGCTGGAGCTGGACCCGGACAGCAGGGGCTCCCCGGGCAGCGGGGTCAGCAGCCAGCACTGCCCTCACCGCCTGTCACGCCACTCCACCGACAGCCACGGCAGCTCCCACACGTCAGGCATCGAGGCCGACTCCTGGCTCAGGGAATCCAGAGAGATATCTGTGGACACACCCTTGGAGGTCCAGGGGCTCCATGAGAAGGAGCCGTCCTCCAGCCTCAGGACCAGCCACAGCCACCCCAGCATATGTGGTGACAGCCAAGGTGGGCCTGAGGGAGATGCCCAGGCCCCAGGGACAGCGAGTGCAGCCCAGCTAGCCCCAGCTTGGCTGACCCTGGACACTGACGCAGCAAAGCCCTGGCCTGCCCTCCAGTGGCCAGACGTGAGGGGCTGGGGCTGACTGTGACCTGAGTCCCGGGAAATGTGCCAGAACATGCCGGAGGGACAGAGATGGCAGGAAGGAGCTGCCTGCAGCCTGCCGTGCCTGAGTCCCCTGTCCCCGCCAAGAGGCAGCCGCAGGCTGGGATCAGAGACGGGAGAGGTGGGATCCTCTTGGGGTTGCAGATGAGTCCAGGTCCTTTCACTTTCTTGGAAGCCCATCTCAGGAGCCCCTCCCACACCTAGGAAGCCCCCCAGCTCCTAGGAAGCCCCCTCACTCCTACAAAGCCCCCTGACTTCTAGGAAGCCCCCCATGCCTAAGAAGTCCTCTCATCCCCTCACTCCTAGGAAGTCCCCTGGACTCCCAGAGACCCCCCAACTCTTAGGAAGCCCCCCCACTCCTAAGAAGTCCCCTGGACTCCTAGGGAGCCCCCAACTCTTAGGAACCCCCTAGTCCTAGGAAGCCCCGTCCCACCAGCGTCCCTCCCGTCAGAAAGCCTGGGTTAGACTCACGTCTTTTTATGCTCAGCTGAGTAGCAGTGAAAAGACAGAGCCATTCAGAGTGTTCTAGGACCGTGTGTCCACCTGGCCCAGGACGCGGCACCCTGTCTGAAGGATGCATCCTGCCCAGTCCCTGTGTTATGAGGCCCTAAAGAGCTTCCTCATCGCCCCAGAAAGGGGACCTCAGCTCTGCTGGTCTCTGAGTGTCCCCACGGCCCTGACGGTGGATGTGATGAGATCAGGTGGGACCAGCCCCAGGGCTCAGTCACCCAGGGCCATCCAGGGTCACAAAACATCACCAGGGCCTCCCAGGGCCAGGCATTCCTGTCACTAAGCCACTGTGTCCACCGTTGCCCTTGGAGTGTCTGGTCCACCAGTAAGGGATGGTTGGCCTCCATCTCTGAGGTTTTACGCAAGCCATGTGGTCTGTAACCCAGCGGGAATCGCCGTGCTAATCCCGTGTCTGCACAGTAAGGGCCTGTTTTATCAGAGGTCAGGGAACGGAGCAAAAGCAGTCACTGCACTGAGAGCAAGGGGGCGGTGTGAGCCTCGGGAGAAGCCGGCCCGAGATCAGGGCCCCAGAACTGCAGGGAAATGCCCTGGGGAGGAGCCATGTCAGGCAGAACCCAGACCCCTGTGCTCATGGCTGCCTCCTCCCACAGCCATTCGCCAGGAACCCTGCGCCGAGGTCAGGACCAGAGGCCAGAGCACCGAGGCTGTGCACCAGGTAGAGTCCCCGCCATGGGCCAGAAGCCCCGGGCCCTGCTCCTCCATCTCCTTCTCCTAGGTCCCCTGTCAGGGGCCTGGGGGACCTTCCAAGGCCTATCAGAGGGTCCCTCGACTGACACCCCCAGAGACACAGCGGGCAATTCAGGGAGCAGCAAGGCTCTCGGGCACTGGGGCGGGTGGGCGTGGCTGGAGGCCTCAGCCTCAAGGCCAAGTGAGCCGGCTCGCTGTGGGGAGTGAGGGGTCCTGCCTGGGGTGGGGGTGGCTGGGCCCTGAGTGTCACCGGGCCACTGTAGGCAGGACCTGGACACCTGGGCCCTACGACCTGCCATGTAGCAGACTGGCTGCCCCCGTCCCCTTCATCCACCTCTTCCACCTGGGACCTGGTCCCATGTGTGCAGGGCTGCTCCAGGCCTTCCCCCACTTCCTGTGGAGCCCCTGAGCCTTAGGGTCCCCCCAGAGAGCTAGAGGAGAGGCAGTGCCAGTGGTTCCTGGATGCCCAGGTGGGGAACAGGTGGGCTCAGGGTTCCCAGCCAGGCTCTGAGTTGCCCTCCCAACCCCCGCCCCCGACTCCACCACAGGGGGGTGAGGCCCCCTCTGGTCATCCCTGTCCAGAATCCCCCTGGAAAGACAGAGAAAATCAGCTGTGGTTGGTTAGTTATCGTGATGCTGGATGGGGAGAGAACAGGGCTGGGCACGGGAGGAGGGAGGGGAGGCTGCTAGTCCTGCCAGGCACGGACCCATCCCAGTGGGGGAGATCCCAAGCCCAGGTCAGCCCACTCCGGAGGAGACGGCCGCCCAAAGCCGCCTGAGCTCTGGGCCAGGGACTGTCACTCTTGAAAAACGTATTGATTAAAAACAAGAAAACACGCGTAGAAGGGCAAGTCAGACCCTGGCGCTGGGCAGCCTTCAGCATGGCCTGCCGCCTGCCCCTGCCCCCTGCCCCCTGCTGCCAGCCTCCAGGGGCCTCATCTGCCTCCTGGGGGCACAGCGGTCCAGGGCAGACCTGAGGGACTATGGCAGCCGAGAAGCTTGGGCTGGAGGTGTCACTTAAGGGCCATGACGCTGCCCGCTGGACGCCCACCTGGACGAGACCTTGGACAGTCACCTCTGAACCCAGTTTCCTCCCGTATAAAAATAAGAGGCCGTTCTTGACGTCGGAGGTGCTTCCAGAGCTGGTGTTCAAGGCCCACACTCAGACCTGATCCTAAATTACACCAAATGCTAAGAGTCCAGGTCCTCTGAGTTAAAAGGCAGAAAGCAGCCCTGGGAAAGAAGCTAGGCAAGGTGGGGGCCTCCCAAAATGCTTCAAAAGAAAACGCCAAGCCTGTCTCACAGAGGCGTATGCTGGGGGAGCCCGTCCAGGGGCAGGCTGGCCGTGCACAGTGGCGCAGGGTGAGCAATGGCAAGGAGTGTGCCTCTGTGGCCACCAGCAGTGTGGCTGCTGTCTGTGGTGGTGCGAGCGGGAGGGGGTGGCAGGCCTCACCCCGTGTCCTCTCCCTGCAGATCTGGGAAATGAAAGCCGGGGTCAGCGAGGAGCCGCACAGCCGCAGCCTGGACGACACATGTCTGCACCAGCTGGCCCTGCACCCAGCGCCCACCTCACCCAGCCATACCTTCCACTGTGCCCCAGACTGCGGGCTGGCAGCCCCCTGCGAGAACAGGGCCACTCTCCCCAGCAAGAGGTCCAGCAACTGCCTCACCCTGGACCTGTTCGGAGAGGCCCCACCCCCACAGGAGTTTGTGGTGTAGGCGCCATTCACCCAGCAGCGCTGTCTGCACCGCCAGGCTCAGCCCCCGCCCACCACACTGCCACGTGGCCCTCGGCCCTTCCTGCCCGCTGGACGCTGCCCACACCTCCGCAGCCAGCACGCTCCACAGGTTCACCTGTAAGAGGTGTGGAGTGGCTCTGACATCAACCTTGGAGGTGACAAACAGGTCCCGCACCTCATCCCTGTCCTCGGTGCACCCAGGAGCTCCTTCCATCGGGGTCTCCAGGTTCAAGGTCTGGCTGTTGAGTGTCCAGAGAGCCATGGTGTTGGCCCCTGAGGCAGCCTGTCACCCATCCTAGTCTGGAAGAGAAGGTGATGCAGCTGGGCCCAGACCCTGGAGAGAGGGCTCTGCAGTTTCCCACACTGCCCGCTCCCCGAGAGACAGCTCCCGAGCCAGAGTTCACGGTGGTCATCACTGTGCAGGACCCAGGCTCCTCCTAGACCTGAACCCCTCTCTCTAACTCGTGTTCGCCAGCGCTGGGCCTGCCAGACAGAGGCCCTTCTTGAGGTGCAAGCCCAGCTCTGTCACCTGAGATCCAGCCAGAGACCCTCCTCCACCATCCGCAGTCAATGGCTGTGTTTTCCCTTCCCAGTCAGGGCTTCCAAAGACCCCACTGCCCTGGAGCTGATGCTGACTCTGTTCCCATCTCAGCCATGAGGCCTCGGGACCCGCTCTGCTCACCGGTGGCTTCCTTAAGCCATTGCCCTGGCCGGGGTGGGGCTGGTGCAGCCCAGTTGGTAGAGGGGAGAGGCTTTGGTGACAGATGGGGAGTGGGGAACTGGCTACGCATGGCACCTGCTCTGACCCCAGTGAACTCCAGGGGTAATGCAACCTCGATACCGTGGGCTCTGGAAGGCCACCAGGGTAGGGTCTCCCCAGGGCTCCTCCCCCTGCATGAGACTCCTGCACATGTGCAAACCTGCTGTCCTCTGCATTCAGAGGAATGGCCCGTGTATCCCTGCTAGTCTCAGGCCCAACACAGAGCACTGAGAGGCCACAATGGTTCAGCCCTGTGTCCTGAACACCACTGCCCCCTTCACTGTCTGTGTGGTGAAGACCACGCCGCACCACCCTCCAGCTCACTGGAGACAAGTGTGAGCTTGAGCCCCATGGCCTGGTGCAGGGCCGCGTGCATTGAGGCCGCCTCTTTGACGGGTCCATCCAGGGGGGCCCTCTCCTTTCTGTGAAAGGGAATCCTGTGTGTGCCCCAGGCACGTGTAATAAAGAACCCAAGCGATGCCTCCTGCTTGAACCAGGACCCGCCTGCCTGGTGGGCTGGTGAGATGCCGGCTGTAACTCACTCAGGGGTATCGGTCACAGAAGGTTGCGTTCTGTAGATGGCCACGAGCCCCAGTGCTGCCGAGGGCAAGACCGTCCACAATGCAACAGGGGAGGGGTGCCTAGTGCTGGCTCACATGTGGGCATGTGGGCACTTCCCAAAGCCATTCCCATTAGTACAAGATAATTGATTTGCCCTGGTCCGGGGCAATGACCGTCTTCTTCCCTTGAAGAAACGAAAGCAACAGCCCAGTCCCGTAGACCATACGGGAAGGCACACACCAGTGTTGGGGAGACGCAGCAGGTGGTGTCCGCCATGAGGCAGGGTCTGAGCTAAGATCTAAACGCACACATGCACACACACGCATACATCTGCACAGGCACACACGCATGTGCACACTCCCCATGTCCAGGCTTCCCCTGCCAGTCACCTTCGCCACATGCCATAGACCCCAGAGGCAGCAAAGGCCAGGCCAGCGCACCCCTAACTTGTGGAAGTGTCACACTGCAGCCGGCCCAGCGCCTTGTGTCCTGGCAGAGGCGAGGCAGCCATGGCCCTTGGCTGACCCAAGAAGCCGCTCTGGCCCCACTGGGATTCCTATTTCTGTCCTTCCTCTGGGCCTTGTGGACAGACATGGAGAATTATGCCAGATGCCTGTTAACTACCGGGTAGGCCTGCTCCGAAGACTCTAATCTCTGGTGTTCAGAGTACGTGGAGAGGACAATTAGAGGCCCACTGCCCTGAGCCTTGCCCAAGAGAGGATGGCCAGGCAGGCCACATGAAGCCTATGTGGGCCACTGGCTCAGACACACCCAGCCAGGGCTGGGGCAGGCTCCCCTGAGGCTTGAGCCTCAGCCTTGCTCACCGCCCCTTCCCACAGCCCCCTCCCACATCCACCCACACCTGGAGGGGCAGGAGCGGAGCTGGAAGCAGAAGGCCAGCCTGGGAGGGGGCCCTCCTTCCCAGAGAGACAGCAGCAGAGAGCCAGGCTGCGGGAAGTGGGGGAAGCCAGGCTTTCCTTGTGCACAGATTGAGATCAGAGGTCTTTTAGGCAATACAGCTATTTTGCAGGAAAATGGACACCGACTGGTAGGGACAGGGATGGTGCCTAAGAAGGAAGGGAAGGGGCAGGGCTGGGGGTGGCCTGCAAATGGACAGAGGCCGCTGTGTACAGGGGGGCTTGTGGCCTCCAGGTGGCATGAGGCAGGCAGGTGTGGGAGGGCACAGGGTAAAGTCCTGAGTCCCCATCCTACCCTGTCTGTGGACAGGAAAAGAAACCCACCTGTGCCAGTCTCTGCAGACCCCGGAGGAGTAGGCCAAGGACCTCCGCATCACAGCTTCGCACGACCAAGGCTGGGGTGGCCGGTCCTGTGGCCGGGGCCAGGTCTGCGGTCAAGCCAGCAGGTCCAGATTCGTAAGAACCACCCAGAGGGCTTGTTGGGGCTGGGTTTCTGGGCCCCCCCCCAGAGTCTGCTTCTGGGGGTCTCGCTGGGACTGGGAACCTGCATTGTTGCCCCGGGGGTCTGGGTCTGAGGGCACAGCTTTCTCTGCTGGGTGCGGTGTGGGAGGCGGCAGATCCTGCTCCTGGGGGCAGTTGGTCTGAAGCAGTGACATGGTGGCCCTGGGCAGGGTGGGGCCGGTTCCCTCTCGCCTGTGTTGAAGCATGGCCCCCTCTGGGCCCCCAGCCATCCGCTCAGCCTCCCTCACGGAAGATGGAGAATTCCAGACAGCGCTCGTCCTTCCTCCAGGAAAGCCTGCTCCATTCATGGTGATTGAAGGCCTGAGAAGCTCTGTTCTTGGGCTGAACCCCAAGCAGGAGGAGGCCAGGGTCCTCAGGTGCCCATCTGGGAGGCCCGGGGCAGCCAGCAATCGCCTCTGCGTCTGGGCTGTCACAGGAGAGGGGCTCCCAAGCCGAGTATCAGCCCGTCGTGGCCCATGGACTCTGGGTTCCCAGGCAGGGGAAATGTGCCACAGAACCACAGGGAATGCCGCCGGGGCCCACGGACTCTGGGTTCCCAGGCAGGGGAAATGTGCCACGGAACCACAGGAGAGGCCGCCGTGGCCCACGGCCGTTCCTGCCGGCTCCAGAGTTTCCCGGGGCAGGGCCTTTGGGGCCCAGGGTGGCCTCTGGGGAGAGTCTGATGAGGACAGCGAGTGCCTGCTGTGACACCTGGTGGCCGCCGCTCTGCAAGGAGCTCCTCTGTGAAGACTGTTCTGCGTGATCGTCTGGCAGGAGTTGGAGGTCCCATCCACATTCATGAGGGTGCTTTGGAATAAAGCCAGGTTTATCGAGTCCACGTGAAACCTGTTTATTTCTAAGCACATATGCATTATAAGCAATGACAAAACACACAGTTTTAGGAGAAAAACTCATTAATGCGTTCAATCCGGCCTCCTCTTCCCCTCCATCTGGGAGCTGGGCGGCCTCTTTCGGGCAGGGCCTCGCTGGACTTGCCGAGCTCGGATCCCGAAACCCAGGCCCTGCAACGTCTGCGCCAGGTGCCTCTGGCTGGGAGAAATGCACAGAATCACCAGTAACTTCGCGTCACCTCCTTTAAAAAAGAAAAACAACATGCAAGCCGGAAAGAGTGGCATCTGGAAGTGCCAACGTGCTGGCAACCAGGGCCCGAGAGGGGCAGCTGCAGAGAGGGCTGCCCGGCGCCCCAGCGGGAAACTGGCCACGTCTGGTAGGCTCCTGGGATGCGGGGTCTGGGGGGGTGAGCAGCCGGTCACTAGCACCCCTCGCCCGGGTCCGGGAGGGCCAGCAGCCAGTCACTAGCACCCCTCGCCCGGGTCCGGGAGGGTCAGCAGCCAGTCACTAGCACCCCTCGCCTGGGTCCGGGAGGGTCAGTAGCCAGTCACTAGCACCCCTCGCCTGGGTCCGGGAGGGTCAGTAGCCAGTCACTAGCACCCCTCGCCTGGGTCTGGGAGGGTCAGCAGCCGGTCACTAGCACCCGTCACCCGGGTCCGGGAGGGTGAGGAGCCAGTCACTAGCACCCCTCACCCGGGTCTAAGAGGGTCAGCAGCCAGTTATTAGCACCCCTCGCCTGGGTCTAGGAGGGTCAGCAGCCGGTCACTAGCACCCCTCGCCCAGGTCCGGGAGGGCCAGCAGCCGGTCACTAGCACCCATCACCCAGGTCCGGGAGGGTCAGCAGCTGGTCACTAGCACCCATCACCCAGGTCCGGGAGGGTCAGCAGCTGGTCACTAACACCCCTCGCCCAGGTCCGGGAGGGTCAGCAGCCGGTCACTAGCACCCCTCGCCCGGGTCCGGGAGGGTCAGTAGCCGGTAACTAGCACCCATCACCCGGGTCCGGGAGGGTCAGCAGCCAGTCACTAGCACCCCTGGCCCGGGGAAGCTGCAGGCCTTCTCACACTCCTGTGTCCCGGGAATTGGGAGGGAGGCATGAAGTCAGCCCTACGGTGAGTCTGCACATGACCCTGCGGTGTGCTCGGCCCCCTGGGACTGCGTTTTCCAGAGCTCCCCCATGCCCACACCTGCTGTTCACGGCCCTGTGGCTCCCTCAGGCTCCACTGGGGCAGGGGCTGTGTGCCCAGGACTTCTCCTCCTGGGGGAATTCTGTCTCTTCCTTTTCTTCAGGACCCGTAGCAAGGGTTAAGCGGGACAGATGGAAACCAAAACCAACGGAGAAGGCAGGGAGAGCTAAGGGGAGGAAAAGCGCAGACCCCAGAGGCCAAGGCCGGGGCTCCCTGAGGGAACTGCTGGCTCTCGGGCACTGTGTGCCCTGTGGTGCCACCCCTGAGATCACGGTGGGCTGTGCACCCAGCCTAGGTTGCCCCGTCTCTCGGTTGGGGCTACAAGCTTTGGAATCCAAGAGTACCAGGTGGTCTCTGTCTTAGAGGTAGAATCCAAAAATATGATTCTGTGAACAGCCCCGTTATTCACCGAGGAAGCCAGTTTGCCATGAGAGGGGGAAATACCCCACAATGAGAGACAGGGATAGTGTCTGGAACATTCTGGCCTCCCCGAGTCCCGAGCACCACCAGCGGCCCCTCCACCACCTCCCAGGGTGGTCCTCCCAGGAAGGAGGAGCCTCCACTGTGGTGGCCACGTGCCCCTGCCGTCCTGCGGTGGCCGTTTCTCAGGACAGGGCCTACAGGGCCCAGGGCCACCTCTGGGGGACTCCACCTGGACCCTCAGCCAGGAAGCCCAGCCCTGGCCAGGAAGCCCAGCCCTGGCAGAGGCCACCCAGCAGCAGCAATGCTTCCTCGGGTCCTCCCTTTCAACCGGTCTGGAGTCTGAGTGGGGGGAGGGGGCACTAACTGAGCTCCCCCGCAAACTGCAAAGCCCAGATCCAGCCACAGCTGGATGACTCTGCACGGAGGCTGCCTGTGCCCCACCTGGCACTGATGCTTCATCTGCTGCGTCCAGGCTTCTGGCACCTGCCCCCAAAAGACCCAAGGAACTTGCAGCCTAAGCAGGTCCATACAGCTGGAGGGACCCACGCCACACACACAGCAGCAGCCTAGAGAGCCCTCAGCTGCCCTGGTGGACTCCCTGGTGAAGAGAGGGGTCAGGGCTGCCACCCTTGAGAAACTGAGTCCGACCAGTAGGCAAGTCACACACAGACCAAACAAGCAAGCAACCAGGCCGAGGTGAGACAGTGCGGGAGAATGACCACCGTGCCATGGGAGTGCCAGCTAGCCACAGCGAGGGCACAGGAGGTGCAGGGGGTACACGGGTGGCCCTTGAGGATGTGCAGGCTGGACGTGTGTGCACATGTCCTGGGGCACGTGGTATCCCATCTTGGGGGATTTGGGGGAAAACGGTTACCGAGGCAGTCCTGAAGGAGGTGGGTGAGCCTGCTGTTCCGGTACGGGATGTGGCTGCGGTGCTCCGACAAAGCCCCCAGGACGTCTGCCAGGGCTGCAAGGCTGCGGTTGATGCACGCTGTCTCCCTCAGGGCCGACCCGGTCACCCCGGACACACCTGGGACAGGACAGGGACCGCCACGCACCATCACCATTTGCACCAAGAAAGAAGGCAGGAAAAGCAAAACCAGCTCCTTGGGAGGAGTGGCTTTCAGACAGGTAGAGGGGAGGCCATGGACGGGACGGGCATTAGAGCGAGGGTCTTTCATGGCTCTGCTCACAGCTCAAAGCGAGCTCCTGCTGGGAACTCAGGTTTTCTCTTCCCAGAGGGCCAGGGTGAGGAACACGACTCTCGGGTTGCCGGGGTAAGAGAACCAACCCCTGAGAATGTAATGGGGATTTGGAACTCATCTGTGGAGGGGGAAACGCCTGGCCCGCCCAGAGCTTCCCAGGCTGCCTGGCTGTACACCCAGCTCCATCAGATCATAGGCCTCTGCAGAGTCCACCCCCCAGGGAAATGCCTGTTCCTGCTCACCAATGCACTCGCTGCCCGCCAAGTCCACGAGCTGCAGCCGGGCCTGCACCTGCTCCGCATGCCCTGCGGGGTCCCTGGGAACCAGCTGTGGAGCTGAGGCCCCTTGAGAAGTTCTGCGGCTCCTTCCTGCCCTTCCTGCCTCTGTTTGCTCCCTGGGGAGGGTAGCACTGCAGGCTTGGTCTGCTGCAAGGGGAGCAACGAGGAGGAAAACAGTTGCATGAACCCATGAGGCTGTGCTTTGCCTTGGTCAAGGCTGAGAAGCTTCTGAACTGCACCCTCCCGCCCACACCTCCCACCCAGTAAGAAGTGGGATTTCAGCAGAGGTCCAGGGGTTAGTGGCTTCTCGGGGGGAAAACACAGCAAGCTAGAAAGCAGCTTTCTTCACTGTGGAAGGTTGAACTAATGCCTCATTGGCCCAAAGGAAATCAAATAATGCTTCTTAGAAAGACTTGATAACGATGTTAAAATCCCACTCAGAAAATCTATGAGCCCTTTTAGAAATAAATTCTACAATCTGCTTGATAATCTTCCACACAAATCCTAACAAAAGGGCTCTTCATTTTAATGCAAATGTCTTTGTAGTGTGTTATTCCTACACAAACTTCTTAGGGTTTTTTAAAAAGCAAGATAACATTTACTCAGTGTGTAAAAGATAGAAAGTACATACAATTTTTTTTTAAGGACATGAAATCCAGTCTTATTCCCACCACCAAGGGCAGCCACGCCTCCCCTGTATTGGGAGTGTTTTTGGTAGAGATTGTTGGTGCTCCCTAAACATCAGGCGCCTGTGCCTTGCCAGCCCCCTGCGGGTACAAGGCCCTGTGCCCAGCTGTGGCCTGCTCTGGGCTGCCAGGGGCTACTGTCAGCACGTCCCCGTCACCTCGCCTTCCGTTGCCCGAGCAACCTTGGAGGTCACATGTTTCAAGTGCCACGGTGGCAAGACAGATGGGGAATGTTCAGCCACACTGGCCCTCGATACGAGTGAGAAATTGCCTTTCCCGTGTCAACCCACTGAGACCAGGTTTCAACGGGACTACAGTCTCATGTTCCAGCCCCAGACCCGTGGTTCTCCAGGTGTGGTCCCCGGAGCCGTGCTCTTGCAGAAACACATGTTTGGGGTCTAGTCCCAGCCCTGCTGAACCTGAGCGTGGGTGGTGTCTGCTATTTGTTCCCACCACCTGCTGCAGGGGATTGGACGCAGCTCAAGTTGGAGAGCTGCCGCCCAGGCTTCACAGGCCTTTGTGTTCTTTCTGACACATCACGTAACTGAAATCATTTCATCTACTGCACAGTTTGTAATTTGGGTTTTAAACTGAAACTACACTCATTGTTTCTTCCATGACAAATGCATGTACTCCAAAGTGTATTATGCCCTGCTTTTCTCTCTGTGTTATATTTTATTTAGCAGAGTGTTTTCCTCCCTCCCATTCTCACTTTTTCTTCTCAGCCTGTGATCCCAGTGGCCTTTTCGGTTTGGGATGCAGATAGTGAAAAAGTGTGGCTGGTATTCCCATGCTGGGTCCTGTGAAAGGCCTTGGATACTGCAGGCACACTGATTTTTCTTCTTCTCCCTTCTCCCTTCTTTTTTCCTCCTCCTCCTCCTCCTCCCCTCTTCCTCCTCCTCCTCCCCTCCTCCCCTCCTCCTCCTCCTCCTCCTTCTTCTTCTTCCTTCTTTTTTTGACAGAGTTTTTGCTCTGTTGCCCAGGCTGGAGTGCAGTGGCACACTCTCGGCTCACCACAACCTCTGCCTCCTGGGTTCAAGCGATTCTCCTGCCTCAGCCTCCTGAGTCACTGGGATTACAGGTGTGTACCACCATGCTCAGCTAATATTTGTATTTTTAGTAGAGACAGAGTTTCACCATGTTGGCCAGGCTGGTCTCGAACTCTTGACCTCAGGTGATCCACCCACCTCAGTCTCCCAAAGTGCTGGAATTACAGGCGTGAGCCACTGCGCCTGGCCTGATTTTTTTTTTTTTTTCCTCCTTAAGTGGGTTTTTCTATTACTTGCCACTGACCAAGCACAAATGGTGACTTACCAGTGCTATCAGAGCAGGTGGCTGTTGTTAGAGTCACTGTAATTATCAGGTGAGACCTGGAAGAGTCCGCATGCACCAGGGTGGGGTGCTTTGCTCTGAGCTGCAGACCTCCACGAACGAGCTCCATCAGTTTTGAGGCGCTGCCAACAGCCCTACAGACAAGGCAAGCAGTGGGGAACACAGCACGGGCGGCCCCCCTTACCCAAGGCGACTTCCAAGCCTCCTCGGCTCCTCTCACATGAGCCACGCATGCCAATGGGGGACTAAAGCCAGTCCTGGGCACAACAAAACATGGTAAAGCAAACTTTTTCCTTTCGAGGCCTAACCAACCTATAGCATCTCTAATCGCTAACCCTGAAATAATGGACTGCTTCCGAACAAAATCAGAGGTTGCTAACCTTTTCAACATCAACTATTCCTTTATTTATTAGAGCCTCCAGTGACCATGTTTTAAAAGTATTTTGTGCATCAAATCTGATTTATGAAATAAAGGTTTAACCCATTTCCCCATGTTAGTGGATGAGATATGACTGCTAATCAGAGTTCTTAATCAGCAGGAGATAACATTTCCATCACAGCTGTCAGTCAAAGGCTCAAATTTCAGGTGACTTTGTGTGACCGTATCAGGGTTGCACGGATGATTTCCTTCAGCTCTGTGAAATATTCGGCATGGCTGGCGGGCCCTTCCCTTGCTGCCTCTGGGGCCCAGGATGGGCAGCCTCTCCGGGCCCTTACTCGTGGGGAGGGTTCCTTTTGTCAGCTCCCAGCTGCACCCCCATTGGGGCAAATCCAGCACATGCATGTGGATTTGAAAATAGGGAACTTTGAGGAAAATACTTAATATGGGGGATCCTCACTTTTATAAGAGGATTCATTACATATTCTATGAAATACTGATATTTACAAATGTGGATAAGTTCATCTCTCCTAGCCTGAGTGGGGTGGGCAAGTTCTTCCACCTCTGCAAGCCTGCTTCCTCATCTGTGAGATGGGACGACGCCCGTCCAAGGTGCTCTTACGAAGATTTTTTCAAAGCTACGTTTATTTGCTTATTTTAATTTTGATTGTAAAAAGATTTTGTTTTTTTTTTACTTTTATCTCTAACAGCTTCAAGATATTAATAACGTATGAAAATGGTACATGTTTAAAGTATACACCTTGATATTTTGATATGTGAATACATTGTGAAACGATCACCTATTCCAGCTAATTAACAAATATATCATCCCGACATACCCAACTTTAAAGAAAGATCATTCTTACAGCAAATTGACAACTGTGCAACACACACGAAGCATGAAAACACACAAGGAATCACTCAGTGACAAGGAGCACTGACTGGGCCACCACGGCCGATTCTCCTTGGGATCCTTGGGGGTGGGGAGCTCGTTTAGAGACGTCCAGCCTCCTGACCATGGGGCAGGTGCCATTCTCACTCAGAGGCCAGCAGCACAGGGCAAGTGCAGTACTCACTCAGAGGCCAGCAGCGCAACCTCTGTTCGTCCGTCCTTGGCTGTCATCACCTCACGCTTGACCCCCGACACTGCTGCAACAGTGTCTTTGGCCAGAAGGTCAAAAATGTCATTATTGTAAACTTCCACTATGGAGACTTCAACCTTTGGGCTTCTTGAGGGATTTTCCGAAATGAGCCTGCGGGAAAACACACAAGAGAAACTTACAGAAAGTCTCACAGAGTGATTTTCAGTGTAAGCCAATCACAGCTCCAGATGCCCTAGAGGATGCTCAGTAAGACTGCTGGGGTCCGAGCAGAGGGCTGCACATTACTCACCCCAAGATCACTCGGGGAAAGGGGGTGTGCCATTTAGGTTGTAGGGTGAATACATGTCTTGGGAGCAGTTATTTTATCAGAGTTATATTTAAACCAACAGCTTTGCAACCAGAACACTGAGGATTCTAAATACACAGGGCAAAGAAGCCTGAATATCACATGGCTGTGGTCTAGAAATTACCATGCCCCACTGATCGATCACTGCAGACACCCAAGGCAAGGTGCAAGGATGTTTGGGCCTCTAGCATTTCTCCAGTGATGGGGTTTGCTTATTTTAAAACTTTTCCACTTCAGGGAAGCTTCTTTATTCCAATTCCACTTATGCCTTCCAACTGCAACTTTCCTGCAAGTAAGACCCATCAAACTAACTCTGGCTCTTTAAAAAACAGCTGCACAGCTGGGCGCGGTGGCTCACGCCTGTAATCCCAGCACTTCAGGAGGCCGAGGCAGGTGGATCACGAGTCAAGAGATCGAGACCATCATGGCCAACCTGGTGAAACCCCATCTCTGCTAAAAATACAAAACTTAGCTGGGCGTGGTGGTGTGTGCCTGTAGTCCCAATTACTTGGGAGGCGGAGGCAGGAGAATCGCTTGAACCTGGGAGGTGCAGGTTGCAGTGAGCTGAGATCGCGCCACTGCACTCCAGCCTGGCGACAGAGCGAGACTCCGTCTCAAAAAGCAAAAGCAGCTGCACATCTTAGTTTGCTCCATGTTTTAAAGAACTATGTGCTGACTATAGGAATGTTTTTAAATAAAGATACTACAGAGAGAGAGAGAGAGAGAGAAAGAAAACTGTAATCCCACAACAAGGAAAAGGTGAGTGCTAACCCTGGATTCCCTCCCTTCCTCTCTCCTCCCTCTGGCTTTCTGGTTTGTCTCTGAAAAAACTCCCCTTCCAACCTTGTCACCAAATAACAAAGGCCTCTTTCTGTCCGCTGGAGGTGGCTGCCTCTCTACCTCGTGCAAGGTGATGTCAATCCCACAGTGAGCATTGTGCTTTTCTTGTTCCTAAGGCTATTCTGAGAACCGGGCGGGAAGTCCCGAGTGACAGGGTGCTATCTGTACTCGAGGGAAAATCCAGTCGGGATGTTTCCCAGCCAGGCGCTGCTACGCTGAATTTTTCATCCAGATCTAGAGGAGTTTTGTCTTCTAATGATAAACAGTAAAGAAAATGATGAAGACTAAAATGAAAGAGAAAGTAAGTAAAACTCTTAAGGTAAAAATCATTATTGGCAAAGCATCAAGATTTGGATTCGACAGGTTCAGCACTGAGGTTAGGTGAGAACACTCTAAGAAGAGTGTGTGCAACAGTGAAAAATGAAGTTAGCTACAGATTTTATTTTACTTTCTATTTGTTTATTTTTTTGAGACAGAGTCTTGCTCTGTCACCCAGGCTGAAATGCAGAGGCACATTCTCGGCTCACTGCAACCTCTGCCACCCAGGTTCAGTTGATTCTCCTGCCTCAACCTCCTGAGTAGCTGAGATTACAGGTGCCCGCCACCATGCCCGGCTAGTTTTTGTATTTTTAGTAGAGACGGGGTTTCGCCATGTTGGCCAGGCTGGTCTCGAACTCCTGGCCTCAGGTGATCCACCCGCCTAAGCCTCCCAAAGTTATGGGATTACAGGTGTGAGCCACTGTGCCCAGCCTAGAGTTTTTACATTCTCCTCCTCTCCACACGTTAGGTAAAAATGCACCACATAGCCAGAAACTTACCCTCCACACTTGGGCCCATCCTTTATCTGACAGTTTGTTCTTGGAATGTCGCAAAACCTAAGTTAGAAATTTCTCAATTACATAATACCGAGGAGTTAATTTGAGAGATTTCCCACAAGTAATTATTGGGCTGTTGACTAGATTCTAGGGACAACGGTGAAAACCACAAGCTTCAGTCTTAGCCTTTAAGCAGCAAAGTGTTGAGAAGGAGACACACAGGTAAAGGACTCCAGGTCCTGCGATGAATGGGTGTGATTCAAATGCACCGGCAGCTTCCCCGATTCTCTGGGGTGGGCGGGGGGCAGGGCCATGCTTTGTCTCTGCCATCTTTTCCTGCCCATTTCCTACTGGGTCATAATTACCCATTTCCACTCTAGACTTTTTAAAAGCAGAAAATTGATCACATGCCCTTGTGCCTCTGACAGTGCGTAGCAGGTAGAGAAACACCACACACTCCTGTTGATAAGGATGACAGCGGAGACCAGTCGGGAAGGAGGCGGTGTCAACAACCAGGTTTAGAAGGAAGGAGAGGGACTTGCAGAGCCAAGGAATCCAGGCAGTAGCATTTTATTTACTTTAAAACAACAGGAAATGGCTTCTCTGGTGCCTTCAGCAATCTAAGAGTAGCGGTTTTCAGGGTCAAGGGTTCCTGTAAACTATCTCCGACATCAGCACTGACGTCACTGTGGTTGTGTATCATTTCGGGCAGAGGGCCGTTTGCAACTTGAGTCACGAACACCCAAGCTCACCCCCAGCCCTGGCCCAGCGCACCCCTCTCCAGGTGTGGATGTGACGAGGGAGGACACGGTCCGTGTCTGCTCGGATTCTCGTTTCTGCAAACGAGGAAAGAGAGGTACAGGGAGAGTAGGGCCTTGCCCGGGGCCATTCACTTGGAAGAGCAGAGATTCTGAGACTCAGACTGAGGGATTCCAGTGCCACAAATCACTGTGCCCTGGAGGGAGACGCACAGCACCCGAGGCTCAGAACAGCAAAACGGAAAAACCATTTCAGAAAGGAGGCGACTGAAACGCTTGCCAGTTATGCGATGGGCCCATTGGCAACGCTGATTATCCGGTGTCTGGAGAGGCCCAGCCCACTGGCCATGGTCCTGATGGATCTTCCCCAACATTTTTAGGCAGCTAACAGCCCTTCGCTCCCTCAGCACAGTTCCCGCCCAGGCAGCGCTGCTCCGCTCCCCCCACCCCCACAGCGCCGCTCCCGCCCCCTCTGCCATCCTGGGTATGCTTCCATAGGTCAAAGTATGAGGCCTGCTCTCACTGGCTGTGCATCCTGCGTCTCTAAGCCCAGCTGAGGGCGGAAATGGCCTTGGAAGCAAGCATGCAGCTCAGGCTGGGAACACTAGGAAGTCCACCTCTGGGACGTGCTGCCTGGCCACATTGCCTCGTTCCACCACGGTGTCCCCGCTCTCACAGATGAGAAGAAACGCGGCGCGGGGTGGGGAGGGAGTCTGGAAACTCCCACCATTCTCTCCCACTTTCTACCTCAGTTCCCCAGTGCTCTTGCCTGAGCCTTAAAGTTTCTGGAACTTAAAGAGTTTGCTTAGCAGAAGGAAAAATGACTGGTCGAATATTTAATGACATGCACAACTCATGCAAGCTCAAACTCCTGACCTCGTGATCCTCCTGCCTCGGCCTCCCAAAGTGCTGATGTGTCCGGAATTGGTAGGTTCTTGGTCTCATTGACTTCAAGAATGAAGCTGCGGACCCTAGCGGTGAGTGTTACAGTTCTTAAAGATGGTGTGTCTGGAGTTTGTTCCTTCTGACGTTCGGACGTGTTTGGAGTTTCTTCCTTCTGGTGGGTGCGTGGTCTCACTGGCTTCAGGAGTGAAGCTGCAGACCTTTGCAGTGAGTGTTACAGCTCAAAAAGACAGTGTGGACACAAAGAGTGAGCAGCAGCAAGATATATTGTAAAGAACAAAAGAATAAAGCTTCCACAGTGTGGAAAGGGACCTGAGCGGGTTGCCACTTGGCGATAGGCGAGTCTCACCACTTGGCAGTACTCTGTATCTAGCTAACCTAGTGGGGACTTGGAGAACTTTTCTGTCTAGCATTCTGTATCTAGCTAAAGGATTGTAAATGCACCAATCAGCACTCTGTGTCTAGCTTAGGGTTTGTAAATACACCAATCAGTATTCTGTGTCTAGCTCAAGGTTTGTAAATACATGAATCAGTACTCTGTATCTAGCTAACCTAGTGGGAACTTTGAGAACTTTTTTGCCTAGCACTCTGTGTCTAGCTCAGGGATTGTAAACGCACCAATCAGCACTCTGTCAAAATGGACCAATCAGCTCTCTGTAAAATGGACCAATCAGTTCTCTGTAAAATAGATGGATCAGCTCTCTGTAAAATGGACCAATCAGCAGGATGTGGTGGGGTCAGATAAGGGAATAAAAGTAGGCTGCCCCAGCCAACAGTGGCAACCCGCTCGCGTCCCCTTCCACACTGTGCAAGCTTTGTTCTTTCGCTCTTTATAATAAATCTTGCTGCTGCTCACTCTTTGGGTCCATGCTGCCTTTATGAGCTGTAACACTCACCGCAAAGGTCTGCAACTTCACTCCTGAAGCCAGCGATACCACGAACCCACTGGTAAGAACAAACAACTCCAGACGCACTGCCTTTGAGAGCTGTAACACCCACCGCGAAGGCCTGCAGCTTCACTCCTGAAGTCAGCGAGAAGACGAACCCACCAGAAGGAAGAAACTACGGACATATCTGAAGGAACAAACTCTGGACACACCATCTTTAAGAACTGTAACACCATGAGGGTCCACGCTTCGTTCTTGAAGTCAGTGAGACCAAGAACCCACCAATTCTGGACACACTGGAATTACAGATGTGAGCCACCGCACCTGGCTGCTGAAATGACTTTTTACTATTCTTTTTTCTAGGACTAATTTTGTTGGTGAAATCATGACACGGGCAGTGGGTCTCTTTCGAAAATGTGCTAACAGTCGGGAGCATCTTCGCAGGCCATGTTGGCTGGACCCCTAAAGAGAAGTGGATGCATACACTCCTGATGGCGGCAGGAGGAAGGGCGACGGAAGAATGGGAGTTTTCCCTCTGTGTTTCCCATTCCAGGACAGAAAACTTCCATCCTCCACCATCCCCCACCTCCACCCCTACCTAGGAAACCCTCTAACTTGGGATCTCTTTCAAGAAGTTTTGTCTTAGCCAGGCATGGTGCCTCATGCCTATAATCCCAGCCCTTTCGGAGGCCGAGGCGAGTGGATCACCTAAGGTCAGGAGTTTGAGACCAGCATGGCCAACATGGCGAAACCCCATCTCTACTAAAAATACAAAAATTAGCTGGGCGTGGTGGGGCACACCTGTGATCCCAGCTACTAGGGAGGCTGAGGAGGGAGAATTGCTTGAACCCAGGAGGCACAGGTTGTAGTGAGCCGAGATCGCACCATTGCACTCCAGCCTGGGTGACAAAGCAAGACCTTGTTGCTAAAAAAATTAAAGACTCAAAAAAGCTTTGTCTTAATGATAGAATCTGAACAAAATTTCATCACAGGAATTGGTAGCAATAATGCCCAGAAGTATGGAAGCGCTTGGTAGTGCTGAATGTATCTGATGAGGTTATGGGGTTTGACCACCTTCTTCAAAAAAAAGTGGTAATAATTTTTGCCGTGTGATAACCAAGGTGCTGACTGCCTGGCTTGCCTGCCATATTTCTCTGCCCCACTCATCACCATCAGCGGTACCTGAAGAGCTCCTCAGCTGCTCTAGGGATAATTCCTAAGTCACTCTGTGGGTCAAGCGGCAACACAGGGCCGTCATCCGAATGGGGTCCCAACATGGTATAGGTCTTCCCGCTGCCCGTCTGTCCATACGCCATAACACAAACATTGTACCTAAAATTCAGAGCAGATTCAGTCCAGCAAAACACACGGAGGGCTAGTGCCAAGAAGATTCCAGGAAAAATTTTCACTTGTCTGAGAAACTTCAATAAATTTCATTCCCTATTCCCCTGTTACTCCATTTCTTATAAATTACGTTTTCATTTAACCACAACTATTTGTTTTTTGCATAATCCATCCTGGTTGCTATCTTGTTGTACAATATTGGATTAAACGGTATTTGCACTGACACACACACACACACAGCGTGGGTTCCTCCTTCCCTGTTTCTCCTGGGCATTTCCATCTCCCCATTCTCCCGTTTAGCATTCACACAGGGATTCTGGCCTTAGCAAGGCCTTCCTAAATCCGCAAACCTTCACTGTAACTATCTTTTTTTTCTTTTTTCTTTTTTTTCTTGCTCTGTCACCCAGGCTAGAGTGCAATGGCTCAATTTTAGCTCACTGCAATCTCTGCCTCATGGGTTCAAGCGATTCTCCTGCCTTAGCCTCCCGAGTAGCTGAGATCAGCCCAGCTGATTTTTGTATTTTTAGTAGAGACAGAGTTTCGCCATGTTGGCCAGGCTGGTCTCAAACTCCTGGACTCAAGGGATCCTCCTGCTTTAGCCTCCTAAAGTGCTGGGATTACCAGCATGAGTCATTTTTGTATACGTTTTCATACAAAAACTATTTTTGTACTTTGTAACTGGAAGGGACTTTGAGGTGTTCATGTCCACAGTCAATCCACATGTGCTGAGCTGCTCTCTGTGACAGTAGCACCTGCCGCCTCTTGGCCCCAAGACCCTCGATTAGCTGACTGCAGCTTATTTCAGAGAAGATAAGAACTACCAACAGATCCCCACATTTCCTTCCAGTTGTGCTGTTTAGCCCAAAGTATGAATGGGAGGATCGGAAATATTTGGAAGACTATTTAAAATAAGTATAATAGAAAATCATCTTCTCAGTCATGATGTTGAAGATGTTCGTGGTTGTAAAGGTGTGGGTCCACCTGACCTGATGTTAAGTGGGTTCATGCCTCAGAGCAGGATCTCCAGCCCTGACCCCTCGTCCAAGTCACCTGGGGACATTCAGCAAGTCCTGCACTCAGAAATTCTGACTTAACTGGTCAACTGTGACTCCGATTTATCAATACCGGTTTAATGTGGTGTATCCACCACAAGTCAAACAAATAAAGGTTGTTGTTTTGACAAAATGATTGTGAGACAGTGTTCTCATTGACTGACATCTAAATCGCCCCTAGAACAGGATAGGAAAAGCAGCAGAGCCCAGTCCTGGGGCTGACTGTTCGAGTCACCAGGGTTGACTGTTACATCCCAGCCACAAGAGCCTGGAAACCACATGCTCCCGCCAAACTGATCAGGCCTCTCCGTTACCATCCTGCGCGTTTTCCTTCCAGGATTAAAAAGTCTCAAGGCATGCATAACAAAACCCCACTACAGGCTACGTCTCTTCCGGCTTCCCTGAATTCATTTACATGCATTTCTTTGTGTGGAGAATATCTTTGACCACAACAGATAAACGGGTTCTTAAAGGGGTCTTTCAACCATTTAAGAATGTAGAGTAAAAGGAAACTTCCTGAAGAAGGAGGCTGTAAACCAGAAATACAATTCTAAGGGCCCCCAGCCATCTGAATGGACTTCCTCCTTGGCCAGGGCACTCTAAAATTTTATCTCAGAGTCTGGTTCAGGCCACGACAGGAAGTGGGGGCCAGACAAGCTTCATGATATCCTCCAGCGTTAACATCGTTAACATCGACACAGACCTTACAGACATCTGGTAAGAAACATCTACGATCTGTTCTCTCTGAAGCTGCCACATGAAGGCTTCCTCTGCAAATAAGAACTTTAGTCTCCATAATCCTTTACCTTAACCCAGACATTCCGGAGCCAATGCATTTCTTAAATGAACTGGATTGAAGTCTCATGTCTCCCTGAAATGTATAAAACTAAACTGTGCCCAACCACCTTCGGCACATGTTCTCAGGACCTCCTGGGCTGTGACCTGGGCCACGGTATTTGGCTCAAGATAAATCTCTCCCAATATTTTACAGACTTTGACTCTTTTTGCTGACAAGACTCAGAACTTAAACTAACTCCATCTGTTTCGCGTTATCCTGGAAAGGCAGTTCTGGCAGTGATCACTGTGACCACGATGTCTTTCTTATTTCTGGAATCTGCTTACTTAAAAGATGCCTATTTGAAAGGAGACTCCCCTATCATTTTCAAAACCATTTCTTCAGATGGGTATAAAAATTCCAGCCTTCTGGAGGAAGAGTTGAAGCAGCAACTGCATCATGATTGGCAGAGCGGCCCCGCGTGCGTGCGCGGTCAGACGCAGGAGCTTCCTGAGTTGACCTACTGGTCGGATCATGCGCCTTTGGGGCGCGCAGCACACTGTGTAATTACAGTTTCTGGGTCCTTGAGGTTCCTTGCGGTTGGCTGTGCAGAAGGCTTTGCTGGACAAATGCAAGTAAGTCTTCGTCAGGAACTTGACGTGGATTTCTGCCAGAAAACTGAGATTCTTCAAAATGCCCCGGAGTGGAAAATATGGGCTTAAGGTGTCTCCATTAAGTAAAAAAATATTCTTCATTCCTAAATTACGACCCGCTGCCTTTGACATCAGTAGTTGTATATTGCAAGAATAGAAGGCTGATTCCCAAAGGGAAAAGTCCCTAAACCTGACGTTAACATTCCTTACAGATTTTTTTTTTAAATTCTGAAATATAAAAGAATCCCAGAGAGAACGGCAGCTGCATTCACAGGCTTAAGCCCACATACAATGTAACTAAAATGGAGTTTGGAATCCCAGGTGGATATACTCATTTAACAAGCATTCTCCAAATCATTCTCACTGCTTTTCCCAGGGTGTGGAGATAGTCTCCATGGATGCAAGCGGAGTCCACTCTGGGTGACCCATGGACATGCTCTGCAGTGCTGTAAAATGCTCAGACTCTAATGCGACATTCTCACTCCACAGCACAATGAAGCTTCTTTATATTCAAATGTAACTATGATAACTGGCCTTCAAAGTATTTTCACTCACCCATCCAAGAGAGACGTGAGTAGGGGGCGCACATCTCCAAAGACCGCACTCTGAGACTCTGCTGGACCATAAACCCTGAGAGACAAAGGGAAAATACTGCATTAATAGAAGAAGCAGAAAGCTACTATAGCATATGCAGACTCAGAAACCTGGGAACACAATACCCCCGTGGACTTCCCATCCCCGCAACACCACCGGAATTCTTCAACAAAAGATTAATCTGTGTTATTTTTCAAGATAACAGAGGTTAAGAAAAAGATACTACTTTCTGCTATGAAAATGTAATAAGCATAAATGAAGTGACAAATGCTTGCAAGATAGGAGGGAAGGAAAGGAGGGGGATGGGAGCAGAAAGGATGGAAGGGGAGAAATGGGGGGAGGAGGGAGAGAGACGGGGGCAGGATGGAGAGAGGGGGAGGAGGAAGGATGGAGGAGGAGGGGGTCAGGAGAATGAGGAGGGGGAGGAGAGTGGAAGGAGGGATGGAGAGGATGAGATGGGATCATGTAGTGATGAATATTATTCCATATAATATATCATCGGCTCTACTGTGGAGGGCCCAACAGTAACAATGTCAAACTCACACTCTGAGCGATATTTGATATATAACATTTGCTTTTTGTGTTCAAGCTTTTAAAAATCTTGTTTTCCTAGGCCCCAGGTCAGTTCAGCAGAACTTGAATCGATATCATGGGATTGGATGTCTGCTCTGCAAAGGAAACTTCATGTGGTTCTGGGTCTATAAACAGGTACAAATAAAACAAAATAGGAAGCAACGTCCAAAAAATGCCGTTTCCTGCACAATTTGAAAGCAGCCTGGAGCACAGTGAGAGAGCAGGCTCCCTGGCAGCTGCCCAGCAGTGGCGGTTGGTTGCACTTGGTCAGGTCTGCTTTGATGTGAAACTCAGTTTCCTGAACTACAGGTTTTGACTTAGCTGGAACCATGTTTTTTCCTTCCTTCATTTTCAAGGGTGTCCTGTCGCTCAGTTGATCCATGTCATCTCCAGCCACGGGATTAATTTTACACGGAGTGGGGACCCTTATGAGGTGTTGCCATATGCATGATGTAGAGGGTACGGTGAGCACTGTGTGGGAAGATGCTCAGGGCTGAGATCCTTTTTAACTTTTCACTCAGAAAATACACCAAGATACAAAAGTAGAAAGAATAGAAAAGTCAGCCCCATGTGCACATTGCCCAGCTCCAGACCCAGGCCTGGCCTGCTTCTCACGCTGAAGCTGACCTGAGGTCCGTTTCATCTGGGAAGGCCAGGATGGCTCCAGACCCAGGCCTGGCCTGCTTCTCATGCGGAAGCTGACCTGAGGTTCATTTCATCTGGAAAGGCCAGTACATCTGTAAAGGATGATGACTTTAAAACATAACAGTATTCCCACGATCATGCCTTAAAAATGAATGTTATTCCTTAGCACCATCCAAAAGTCAGTGCTTGCATTTCCTCAGTTGTCTAGTAAGTTTCTTTTTCCAGTCAGTGTTTTAGAAATGATAATTCATCATGGCATCTACACTGCACAGGGTTGCTGCCTTCTAAGTCTCCTAATCTATGGCAAGGGTTAGCAAACTTTTTCTCAAAAAAAACTAGATAGTAAATATTTTAGGCTTTGTGAACATCTTACCTTTAAAGAATACTGGAGTTTTTCCCAGTAATGGGAGGGAAAAGTCCAAGACGCCGACTACCTGCAATACTCTTTACCTGCAGTACTCTTTACCTGCAATACTCTTTTCTTGCAATACTATTTACCTGCAATACTCTTTTCCTGCAGTACTCTTTACCTGCAGTACTCTTTACCTGCAATACTCTTTACCTGCAGTACTCTTTACCTGCAGTACTCTTTACCTGCAATACTCTTTACCTCCTGCAATGCTCTTTTCTTGCAATACTATTTACCTGCAGTACTCTTTACCTGCAATACTCTTTACCTGCAATACTCTTTACCTGCAATACTCTTTACCTGCAATACTATTTACCTGCAATACTCTTTACCTGCAATACTCTTTACCTGCAATACTCTTTACCTGCAATACTCTTTACCTGCAATACTCTTTACCTGCAGTACTCTTTACCTGCAATACTCTTTACCTGCAATACTCTTTACCTGCAGTACTGCAATACTCTTTACCTGCAATACTATTTACCTGCAGTACTCTTTACCTGCAATACTCTTTTCTTGCAATACTATTTACCTGCAGTACTCTTTACCTGCAATACTCTTTACCTGCAATACTCTTTACCTGCAATACTCTTTACCTACCTGCAATGCTCTTTTCTTGCAATACTATTTACCTGCAGTACTCTTTACCTGCAGTACTATTTACCTGCAGTACTCTTTACCTGCAGTACTAGTACTCTTTACCTGCAATACTCTTTACCTGCAATACTATTTACCTGCAGTACTCTTTACCTGCAATACTCTTTACCTGCAATACTATTTACCTGCAATACTCTTTACCTGCAATACTCTTTACCTGCAATACTCTTTACCTGCAATACTCTTTTCTTGCAATACTATTTTCTTGCAGTACTCTTTACCTGCAGTACTATTTAATATTGCATCGAGCTATGATTGGCTTATGCAGTTGGACAAAAGAAATCAATTAGTGACATAAGAATCAGAAAAGATAAAACAATTTCCCCTTGGAGCTAACACGGCCATACATCTGAGAAATCCAAATTCAAATGACAAAGAAAATTACTAAATCAATACAATAATTTAACAAAACAGCAGGTCATAAAATTAATGTGAAAACATCAATGGCCTCTCTATATACAAATAGAGTTAGAAGCCATGCTGGGAGATGAGACTCTATTAGTGATAGCAACAAAAATATGCCTGGGAATAAACTTAATACGAAATGTTCTAATCCTTCATAAAGAAAATGATAAAAGGCTCATGAAAATACATGATTAAACTCAAATAAGTGAAAAGTCACAGCATGTTCCTGAATGGAAGAGTCAACTCATGAAGATGCCCATTTTTCCAAAGTTAGTTTATAAACTTACCTCAATCCCCCCAAAATACTGTATATGCTGTCAGGTTTTTCCTGGAGCTCCACAGTTATTATAATTTTTTTTTTTTCCTGGCAAAATAAAATAGTGAGAATAGAAAGAAGCCCTGGAACATAGAGGAACTGGGATGGGGTGAGCTCAGACACTGGAACCTTCTCTGAGACTCTATCTACAACAGCTTGGTGTTGCTGCGTGAATTAGTAAGTAGGCCGAAGGAAGAGGGGGAAATGCCAGACAGACACAACTCCATGTGGCAATGGGTCAGATAAAGGGACATCTCAGATCAGTGGGGACAGAGGTGTTTTAATAAGTGGTGTTGCAGGCTGGGCACGATGGCTCACGTCTGCAATCCTAGCACTTTGGGAGGCCGAGGTGGACAGATCGTTTGAGCCCAGGAGTTTGAGACCAGCCTGGGCAATGGGCAAAACTCCATCTCAATATCCTCTTTTTTAATAAACAAATTTTAAAATATTATTTTAAATTAATATTTTAAAATATAAGTGGTGTTGCAGTAAATGAAGAGATTTAAAAAGATAAAATTGGATCAATTCTTTATAAAATGGACTAGGACACATTCCTAACAGACCACAAGTTTAATGAAAACCATCCGGCCATGCGTGTCCCAGCAGAGTCCACGGGTGGGTTCTTCTAGAACCTGGCAGCCTTTTTACCTATGAGCATGTAAAAACGTACGTGTGGCTCAAAGACATCAGAAGCAGACAACAGACTGAGACAGTAGTTGCAGCTTAAATATCTTTGCTATATCAAGTGCTCCTAGAAATACAAAAGGGAAAGGTCAGTCCTTGTAGAGAAAATAGCTAGAGAAGTGAAGAACACACAGAGAAAAAAAAAAAAAAGATGCAAATGACGGAACCACACGAAAAGACTCAACTTCGCTCTGAAGAGATGCTACACAGACAACCCGTTTCTCACCCACAGAGGAACAACCCATGCATCTGACCTTGTGCTCTGTGGGGATGTGGAGGGAAGCTGGCCTTGCCCACGTGACTCTCCGGGGAGGAGGGGCGGTCCCGGTGCTAGTGGGAAGCTGGCCCTACGACCTGGCACTCCCAGCACCCACCTCCCACAGTCATGCCCAGCCACAGCCAAGGCTCCTGTGCTTGCAGCCTGTCAGTCTCATTCTTTTTCTCCATAACTCTGACCATTTTTCCCCTAACCTGGAATCTCCTTTCCCTTTTTCTTTTTCTTTCTCTTTTTTTTTTTTTTTTTTTCTGAGACAGAGTCTTGCTCTGTCGCCCAGGCTGGAACGCAATGGCCCGATCTCAGCTCACTGCAACCTCTGCCTCCCAGGTTCAAGCGATTCTCACGCCTCAGCCACCCCTGTAGCTGGGACTACAGGTGTGTGCCACTATGTCCAGCTAATTTTTTGTATTTGAGACTGGATTTCACCATGTTGCCCAGGGTGGTCTCAAATGACCTCAGGCAATCTGCCCGCCTCTGCCTCCCAAAGTGCTAGGATTACAGGCGTGAGCCACCACCCCCGGCCTCCTTTCCCTTTTTCTCGGCCTGATTAACTCCTGGTTAGCTGAGCTGTTGAGCCCCAGGTTGAGGGCCTCCCCCATCTCTGCCTCCCACCGCGCTGTTGTGTTGGTGGCTTCTGTGCTCAGTGCAGCCTCCCGGGCACCGTCCCTACAGCTCTAGGTCTTGGTGGCAAAAATGCTGCCTTCCTCTCACCTACATCCCTTGTGTCTAACAGGGTGCCTGGCACATAACAGGTGCTCAGAAAATGCTTGCACTTGAATGACTATAGAAATTTAACACAAATGTGTCGGTTAGGAATATCGTATTGTAAATTCCTGTTCTACAAGAACAGAGCCAGGAGTGTCCTTCAGCCTCCTGATAAATGAATTATTCTCAAAACAATGAACATGACTTATTCTTTTTCTCCTTGCACTTTGGATCAATGGCATTACTTTTGTTTTTTTTTTTAAATAATATTTTTATTTCACATAGAAAATATACCTTCTTCTGACCCTGGGCCTATTAATATTTTTTCTGAATAGTAAGAATTGAACTTTTCCCCTCATACAAATTTATTTTTACAATAAGGGCTGAAGGTGTTGGAATTTTTTTTTTTTCGAATGGAAATAAAATATTTTGACGTTTATTAGTTCCATAAAAAGCTGTTATAAAAGCCAACAATATTCTGATTTCATAAGAACCATATGCTCCACTGTTTCTAAAAACAAGATGATCCCGAATGCTAAATGATATTACCCCAGAATAAATTCTTGCAGAGATTTACATTTAAAGTCTCCCTTACCTCTAGAAAGACAAGTTGCACAAATTCTTCTATTTTCTGTTCACTTCAAGCAGCACAATTTTGACCTTTCCCTTTGACCCTCAGTGTACTCGTACTGAGACGGAGCCCTCTGAGAAGACGCACGTCGGCATGGCCGGTGCTGCTCCACTTCCTTCTTCCCCAAAAAAGGTCACGTGAGTCCCGAGGGTGGTTTCCTCACCACAGCGCCCTTCCCTGTGCTTCTGCACTGACCTAAGCAGCAGCCTGGTGTCATCCAAAGACTGAGACCTTCTGCCCAAATCCACCGCTTACTAAAAGCCATCCTTTCACTAGACTGGGCAGTGGTGCCCCCCGCAGCTTCCTCCTCAGGTCCTCCTGGGATGATCAAAGGCCTGAAAGGAGTTGGACACTCTGAAGGGCTACGTGAAGGTGACGTATGTAACTAAACTCCACCCAGCTCAAGCTTTAGCCACTCTGTGACTCTCCTGCCCACAGGCATTTCTCTGTCACTCAGCACTCGGCCACACACACTGTGGGACTCTGGCTGCTTTGCAGTGATGACCAACACCCGCAGCCTGTGTGTAAGCCGCGTGGGGAAAGGATCATACTTTAAACTTTTTATTCCTAATCCAACCCTACTTTATTCCTTCTCTGCAGCTCTGTGCTAAGCGCCTGAAGGTGCTCGTTAAATCCTTCAGCACTTTAACCAAAGGGTGCATTTGGCTCTAAACATTCAACCCAATCCTTTATCAGTAGGCCACATGCTTCCTTAAACTGGTGCTGTTTACTTCCCAAGGCAAGTCTAGCAAAGGACAAGGATTGGAGGTGGGGTTGGGAGGAAGGAAAAAGCTTTTACCACAATGTATCTACCACCGACACCAGCTGACATGGTCCAGACATCATCCAGCAAGCCCACGATTTTAAACATGATCTAAATGAAATGCTCATTTCTTGGGATTCAAGGTAAGACCTTGTCCCCAGCCCCGCGGAGCTCCTGTTCCAGTTGGGAAGACGACAGTAGAAGCAGATACTACAGTGTGCCAAACGCTATTCCAACACATGAAGCAGGGGCAGGAAATGAGAAGTCGGGGCAGCTGCCTCCGACGGAGGGACACAGGGAAACTGAGAAGGATTCCTCACGAAGGAGACATTCCCAAGCCACACCCCCAGGTCCTTCATCAGTGAGCGTCCCCACGTCTCAGATGAGTTTCCGGCCTTTGTTGGGATGCCTGTCCCACCTAAACCTCCAGAGCGGAGTCCAGGCTCCAGGCCGCTTCCCAGAGGTGCTTCCCTCATTAACTGTTCCATTCCAAACATTCCTTTCTTTCTTTCTTTCTTTCTTTTTTTTTTTTTTTTTTGGAGACAGAATCTCACACTGTCATCCAAGCTGGAGTGCAGCGGCACATTCTCGGCTCACTGCAACCTCCACCTCCTGGGTTCATGCGATTCTCCCGCCTCAGTCTCCCAAGTAGCTGGGACTACAGGCGTGCGCCACCATGCCCAGCTAATTTTTGTATTTTTGTAGAGATGAGGTTTCACCGTGTTCGCCAGACTGGTTTCGAACTCCTGACCTCAGGTGATCCACCCGCCTAGGCTTCCCAAAGTGCTGGGATTATAGGCGTGAGCCACCGCACCCAGCCAGCCAGGCTGGTCTTGAACTCTTGACCTCAGATGATCCACCCACTTTGGCCTCCCAAGGTGCTGAGATTACAGGTGTGAGCCACTGCACCCAGCCCCGAACATTCCTTTCTTCTCCATCCTTGGCCAATTATGTCACCTATTTTGATTGCTTCACCTTATTCTGCCAATGTTGATATTACCTATCATTGTAAAGATCACCCAAGCCCCCCATCCCAAGCCTAGGTCTCAACTACGGTATAAACTCCGGGAAAGAGTCGGGCCAACCCCATTCCCCTCCTTACCTAGCCCAACACCAGATTACTCTGAAACACAGTAAAAAAAAAAGAGAGGTTTTTACTTAGATTATTCTGCTGCATAATTGAGTTATCAAGAAAGGACAAAATCAATAGTGGAAGAAAGGTCAGCCCACTGAAGGACTGCTAAAAAAACCGTGTGTCACAAGGAAGCGAAGTTCCACAAATGTTTGCATAAACAAACATGATGAAGCTAAGCCATGGGGTCATTACAAAATGCTCATAAATTGGCTTCTTTTCTACACTGATAAAAAGTATCATTTTTCTCTATACTGTTTTTAGTGCACAGACATGAGAAAAAGCTCTTACACGTGAAGACTGGCTTTGCTCTTACAAATCCCTTGAACCACCAGCACCATGTGTGAAAGTTTCTTCAGGAAGCTACTTTATTACATGTGAAACTGATGAAAATTTTCTTGAGTATTCGTAGTGAGATTTTAAATATGATTATTTTAGGGGAAAAATCAAGTTATTTGGTTTTAGATATACAAAGTAAAATGTTTTTCAGTAAATAAATAATACAAATGCATGAGACTATACAGATTCTAATATTATTGCAATCCTTGAGTAATAACACACATTCTACAAAATGCACTGTCTCTGAAGCTCTAGATCTCGACACATGGCGACTAAGATACCACAACTCCCTTTCTCTCCCCTAACCAACACGTAACTAATGCAACATAAAATAGAAACAAAATATGCTTTTAAATATGCTGCTGACATTGAAGGGAAGAAAGAAAGGAAACTGGCTGGGCGCGGTGGCTCACGCCTATAATCCTAGCCCTTGGGCGGCTGAGGCGGATGGATTACTTGACGTCAAGAGTTCAAGACCAGCCTGGCCAACATAGTGAAACCCGGTCTCTACTAAAAATACAAATATAACTGGGCATGGTGGCTCACATCTGTAATCTCAGCACTTTGGGAGGCCAAGGTGGGCAGATCACTTGAGGTCAGCAGTTGAAGACCAGCCTGGCCAACATGGTGAAACCCTGTCTCTACTGAAAATACAAAAATTAGCCAGGTGTGGTGGTGCATGCCTGAGGTCCAGCTACTCGGGAGGCTGAGGCAGGAGAATCTCTCGAACCCAGAAGGCGGGGATTGCAGTGAGCTGAGATTGCACCACTGTACTCCAGCCTGGGCAACACAGCAAGACTCTTTCTCAAAAAAAAAAAAAAAAAGAAGAAGGAAACTTTCTAGGTGCAAGAAATGAAGAGTGGAAAAAGGCTGAGTAGAAGGCTTGAATTGGTACTGCAAGCACCCAGGCTGAGAAACCAATCCAGACAGAAGCAACAGGGCTTACAAGCAGGGTTTTTGCCCTCTGGAGACAGGAGGCAGGACATGGAGGTGCCATGGCTGTGTAAGTCCAGGGCACTCAAACATAGGCCTAGTCCCATTTTCACCATTTCAAGTGTGCCGTGCAGGGGCCTCAAGCTCATTCACACTGTGGGGCTTGCGTCAGCCTCAGCCATCCCCGGAGCCCACTCTGTCCACTCGCTATGGGGTCTCCTGGAGTTTCACGTTGGTCCTTTCTGTTGCTGCGGTGTCAAGTTCACCCGTCTTTCTCCTGCATCCCAACCAGTACGTTCGTGTCTCCTCGATGGTATTTCTTTCATCTCTAGAAGTTTTATTTGGGTCTTTTTATAATTTTTCACATCTCTTCTCAACATGTTTACATTTTCCTCTACTTCCTTGAACACACGGATTTATAATAACTGTTTTCACCTTCTTTACTAATTCTATCATTTGTATTATTTCTCGCTCTATTTCCGTTGTCTGAGTTTTCTCATTAGAGATCATATTTGCCTACTTCCTTGAATGATGTCTGGTAATTTCTGATGTCAGACTTTACTAATTACTCGCAATTGGGTGCACCATGTTTTGACCCTCCAATCCCAGTAATTTTTCTTCAGCTTTATTATGGGATGCCAGCAGTTACTTGGAAACAACTTGATCCCTCAAGGCTTGCATTTAAGTTCTGCCATGTGGCACCAGCAGCCTTCATTCCAGGGCTAACTTCTCGCTTGACCCAAGGCCTCGTGTATCACGAGGTATTTCTGCCCTGGCGGGAGCAGTCACAATTCCCAGGCCTGTGTGAGCTCTGCGGACTGTCTCCCAGGCTTCTCCCCAGTGGTTCTTTCCCGGCCTCGTCCTTCTTCCCGCTCCTGTGCTGGTCAGTGCTCAGCTGAGGCTTGAGGGGAGCCCTCTGCCCTTCTCCAGATGTGACCCTATCAAGCAACGCAGGCTGCTGCTGGGGAGAGGAAGAGGCCTCAGGCACTGACGTCCTTCCGAGGAGCAGGAGGGCAGAGCCTGGGAGCAGGACCACTCAGCCAGCCCTTGGTAGCTGAAGGAGGATGAGCAGGGATTTGCAAAGGCCACACACATTGCTTCTGAGCCTTCCTGGGCTCTCCCCACCCTGGGAATACACCACGACCTGGTGCCGAGGAAGGCATCTGACAGAAAGGTTACAGTTAGTTGCTATCATCACAGTGAAATCACTGTCAACAAACTGGATACATAAAAAATGTCGATTTACTTAAAACGATGAACATACGGATGACAGATGTCCCTCGACTTATGATGGGGTTGCAACCTGAGAAACCCATTGTAGGTTGAAAATATTGCAAGTTGAAAATGCATTTGATACACCTAATTTACCAAGCATTGTAGCTCAGCCTAGCCTGCCTTAAATGTGCCCAGAACACACACATTAGCCTACAGGTGGGCAAAGTCACCCAATGGAAAGCTTCTTGTACGCTTAAGTGTTGACTGTTTCACGTAGTTTATTGACTACTGTACTAAAAGCAAAAACCAGAAGGGCTGTAATGGGTCCTTGAGGCACAGTGTCTACTGAATGTGTGTCTCTTTCACACTTTCCTAAAGTTGAAAAATCGACATTAGGGATTTTTTTTTTCTGTATTTACAATCACAATTAGTCAAAATGATAGGATAAATCGCACATTTCATTACTCAAACCCCAATGCAAAACTTGTACTTTTAATGTGGAAGTTTGCTTTATATGACACCTTGAAAAGCACTTACCTTTCAAAATGATATGTCTTATTAATCAGAGGGTGGCCAGGACGATCACATTTCACCAGAACTGTTTCCTGAGAGAAAAGAGTAAAACAATGTCGTAAGACTTTGTGGGCTGCGTTAATTAAACACAAGCCCCACCAACCCCAGCCTGCCGCCTGTTTTTGTAAACAAAGTTTGCCTGGAACACAGCCCCACCCTTTGTTTACATGCTGTGTACGGCTGCTTCTTCCTCAAGGGCAAAGTTGGATGCTTGAGTTGGAGACCACATGGCCTTCAAAGATGAAAATATTAACTCCCTGACCCTCTCCTGAAAAGGTTTGCCAACCCCATAAAGAGAAAAGAAAGTCGCATCTATTGAGGAATGCACAACAGAGCTCCTCAATCTGCCCTAGGCTGAGGGTAAAACACCCGAATTACTGACTCTAAAGGCCTTTGATAGTTTGCAGGAGAGATAAGGTTTTCAAATGGCTAAAGAAATCACATCTCAGACATCATTATATTCCGTAGTAACCCATGGAACTAACATGTCTGTTTCAAAAACAAATTTTGATCTTGCTGGACTGTATTCTTAAATTATATCCTGTGTAAGGGAAGCAAAGGCATTTTTCAGCAAGAAATCTGAAATTAGTTTAGTTTCACTTAAGCAAAGAAAAGATGAACCTGGATCGGTTCCACTTCTTTTTTTTTTTTTTTTTTTGAGATGGAGTCTCGCTCTGTCGCCCAGGCTGCAGTGCGGTGGCCGGATCTCAGCTCACTGCAAGCTCCGCCTCCCGGGTTTATGCCATTCTCCTGCCTCAGCCTCCCGAGTAGCTGGGACTACAGGCGCCCGCCACCTCGACCGGCTAGTTTTTTTGTATTTTTTAGTAGAGACGGGGTTTCACCGTGTTAGCCAGGATGGTCTTGATCTCCTGACCTCGTGATCCGCCTGTCTCGGCCTCCCAAAGTGCTGGGGTTACAGGCTTGAGCCACCGTGCCCAGCCTGGATTGGTTCCACTTCTAAAACAAAATATGTATTCATGAAAAAGCAGGGGTAACAGGAAGAATGAAAACCACAACTGCAGTGGCGAATAACCCGCAGGCATTGGATTTTTTCTAACAGTGTTTAGCGGATGCTAGGATGATACCTCCACACCGTCTTCTTAGTAGTGTGTGTGTGTCTGTGTGTGTGCGCACATGTATCTGCAATAACATGTCAAAGAAGTGGCCTATTTTGTAAAGACAAAAGCTGTGAGATTCAACAGCTGTTTGTGGTTGTTGTTGCTGTTTGTTATTCGCTTGCTGCTGGATGGGCGGTGGTGGGCAGCTGCCGGAATCTTGTTGCGTCTGGATTCTGTGAGATCTCCGATGTGAAATGCTGATATAATCAAATAGTGAACCTTTCCTGTCTTGCCAGAGGTGAAAGGTTGCAGGAATCCCTGGCATGCATCTGGGTGAGGCAGCTCAGGAAGCAATGACTGAACACCAGCCTCGGCCCCATGCTGCCTGGGGACAGAGCCTCGGCTGTGCCTCGGAGGCAGCCTTGGGTTGCTCACTGCCCCAAGCCCGCTGCTATTGTCCTGTGTAATGAAACAGGCCCTGGCTATCCCCCTAACTGGCCTCTGCCTCCAGTCCAGCACCCTCCCATCTGTCCTTTATGTTGTTACTGTAGAAATCTTTCTCAAATGCAAATTAGAAAAGAAGAAAGCAGATGAAGTCACCGAAGCCAAAGAAAGAAAGTGAAGAGGGAGGGAATGGGTGACGCAGAATGCCACCTGTTGCCGAGAGGTGGCTTGAGTCCTTATTTCAAACTCTTGATTGGACTGGGTAGACTGGGAGGTCACTTGCTACCATGATGTGTATCCAGTTTCCTGGGATGACTTTTGGGAGAGCGGGTGGGGATACAAGCTCGACCGCGGTGACTCTGGCAATGCCGGGAGGAGCAGCCGGTGGCTGGGGTCAGTCCGTGGTCTCTAACGCACCACAGAAGTGACCACCGGGATGCAGAGCTTGCCGGCATGGCTTTCACAGAAGAAGCTTACGTCTCTAATGAGTATTTACTGGGCAGTTGTTGTGTACCAGAAACTGTTTCAGAACCTGCATGTTCTTACATGATAATGTCACATCCCCTATGTCAGAAGCAGCTCTTCAGTTCCTTTCACGCTCAAAACACCGAAGCAAAACTCTGACACCCACCAGGACCAAGCCCCTGGCCTCGCTGTAAGAACAGACCTCCCAGTCCCTAATCCAACCACCAGCCTAGGCCCCTTGCTCCTTTCTCGTGGTGTATTTTCATTTTTCTGCTGTCCACTTAGGGTATACTGTTCCTTTGGTACTATGCCAGAATGTAATCCTAGTGCTCCAGTATGAACTGCATAGGAACACACACCCAAAAGTGTTTTACTGCTGTCTTCAAATGTCCAAGTTTTAACCATAAAGAAAAGCAAATGAAAAATGCAAAGGTCTACAATGTCTGACCCGAAAGCTCAAGGGACACCATACAAGAAACATGCAAAGCCATAAAAACAAGCCTGAGTCCAAAAAGTCCCCCAGGTGACTTAGAACTCCATTCCACAGCGTGACCATTCGATCTTAAACATCCAAAATTATTCCACAGCAAAGTTTAATTTTTCCAAACAGCTTCAATGCTTTCCTGCCTGTCCAAAAACCCTCCCCACTCCTGATACTAAATACCCTTAATTTCACAAGAAGGATTCATTTCTCTTGGCTTTTTAAACAACTTTCTTTTATCCAAATTTTCAAGCTCTTGACAGCATCCTTCTTTTCAAGATGGGATTGCCCATCTGGGGCCACTTCCCTGAAGAGGCCTGCACACACCCGCAGTGGGGACGCATGGCCCCTGCCTCAGGAATCACAAGGTTCCCATGAAATAACCCGTGAAAGCACCTGGCTCAGAGGCAATGATCTCTAAAAGCTGTTTTTCCTTACATTTACCTACTGTAGCATCCAGTTTTTGATTTATATCCCATTTCCTAGGATAACTTTAAAGGCACTTAGGGCATAAAATTCTTTGTCATCAAATGTTAGAGCTCAAAGTACGTTTAATTCACCCTCTTCATTTTAAAGAAGGAAACCTGAGAGGAAGAGGAGACGGGTGAACGACATGCAGACAGAGTCAGGGACTCTCCCAGAGGCAGACACAAAACAGCCAGGAGGGAGGGACTGCACATCACCGTGCTCCCTGCGAGCCAAGGCTGCCTGCTGCGGGTATCAACAGTCCTGTGGATGGCGGTTCAAGGCCCGGTGAACCCGAGTTAAAAAAGAACAAGTAATGTATTAAAGACCATACAGTCTCTGACCATTAAACATTTTGTCTCAGGTGTAACACATCTATCAATCCTGCCAAGCACCATCACAAAAATATGCTTTACATTGGCTGCATGTAACTAAATAAGTGTCGTTGGATACACAGGCTCTGTTGACTGTATTCAGACATTCAAGTCAGTAACTGGCAAACTTAACAATAAGGGAGAATCACGGATGAACAAAGACAGTTCAGCAAGAACTTGATACAAAGCCAGAAATCTGTTCTCCCATGTCTGATTATCAACTGAGTGGATATAAATTAAATCAAAAATGAAAATAAACAGCCTTTAAGACAGCCGCCAGGAACTAGGGCAGTAGCCAGATTCTCCATCTGAGATCGACTTTATTAACAGATGGAATCCAAACGATGAAACGTTGAATTAGATTGCAAATGGACATGAAGTGCCGTGTTACACATCCAGTACAAACTCAAACTCTGTTTAGACTTTTGGAAATAAAAACATAATGTGGGAGCCAGGAGATACAGGGTCACAAAACGGATCATTTGCTTTCTCAGCAGATTTGATGGCACGAAGCCCTCTAGCGAGCAGGCCTATCAAATTAAAAAGCAACATCTTGGATTCTGATTTAAAACAAAAACAAAAACAAAAACATAATCCAAAATGCCCCAATAAAATGTTATTTTATTTTGACGGGTAAGATGGAAAACTTCAAATATCTGAATCTAAAGATTCGGTGGAACTTTGGCAGGAACGGGAGAGGACTGCCAAGAGAATGAATAAAGTAACAAGGAACAGTAACAACAAACGACAGAGATGTTAATAATCATAATAAGCCTTCCCCAGGGGCTGGGGCCAGGCCTCAGCCTCAGGATGCATTTGCTCACTGAAAAACTCCTTCAGGTTAACCAGGATGCACACAGACTGAGGGAAGTGTAGAAAGGCAATTACTAAACCACAAATACTCGGGTGTGTTCACTTACAAAAGAAGGAGATTGATAAGGGGAGGGGATTGATAAAGTCCCAGGGCTCCTGTTAACTCAAAGTCCTGATGATGAGGATTTAATCTGTCTCCTTTTGTTTGACTCAAGCATGCTGGTGCTTAAGGCATCAAGTGAGATAAAATATATATATATTTGCATGGTAGGAGCAAAGTCAGCAAGACACTGACCAGAGAGAGCTGGTGCTCAGCTCCCTCCGCCCAAGAAAGGACCAAGGCAATGACTACACAGCTAAGCTCTGACTGTGTGGAAGGAAGAGAGCTGAGATCTGGCAGAGTGCGCAGTGCAGCATGGGAGTGGAGAGACACCTGTGTTGACTGGAAGTCCAGGAGGGCAGAGTGGAGGCACCAGGCTTCCGCAGCCCCATCTCCCCTGCCTGGGCCAGATCTGCCTGGAGTCACAAGGGACTTCCCGTTGCAGGGAAAAGGGAAGCAGCAGATCCCCACCAGCCCCCGTCACCACAGAAAACATCTACAGTCCTTACACCAGGGGAATCCTGCAGTCCTCGCAAGCCCTGAGCCATCTGGGAGCTGCAGGAAATTCATGGTGCAGCTCCATAGCCCCAGATTAGGAGCACAAGGTGTGCACTGCTCACTCCCCAGCCATCCCTGTGAGCCAAGCTGCTGCAGCACAGCCCCATCTTGAGACCAGAGCCACCTCTGGAGCATACCCTGCTCTGGGGAACAGAAACCATGGCCATTCTCCAGCCTTGGAGCTCCATCTTCATGATGCCAAGCCCACACGTGTGGCTGAACATCACAACCCCAGCTGCATGGAGCCTGGGCTCAGGATTGGCTGTACTCTGGC